TCGCGTTGATTTCGAGACAACTTAAGGAAGTGCGACACTGTAATTTGTTTACGAATCAAATGTTTTTGCTTTTTTCGAACAATACACATTTCACAAATGTTGTGTCAAATTTTGAGAAAGAAATCTCCAGAATTATTAGAGTTATGTTTGTGTCAAATGCTTAACCGAAGATTATTGAAATCATAAATGCGTTTACCTGTAAACGACACTTTTCAGACTGATTGTCAGCGTGACATGATTCAAATCACATACTATTTAGAAAAGTAGTTTCTATGGTCTGACCTAACCAGTTTTTCTTAAGCTGATTTTTAAGATTGAAGATCTTTTTATTTTTGAACAGCCGAAATTCATGTATATGGTGAAAAATGCTGTGAGGGGATAAAATGGATAGGTATAACAGAATAAATACATGTATTACATACATAAATACATGTATGATCCGTTACACAACTTGAAAAGAACAGCAAATAAAGAAGAGGACGCACAGTATGATATTTCAGCGATCTAGAGGGACAAAACTTATGTGGTCCAATATTTCGAAAACTATTAGGTCGTCTACACACGAAGCCACTCAAAAGAAACGTAATTGGTCGGTGACTGAAATCACGAACTACATAGTTACTTATTGGTAACTAGTACTTAGTACTGATTTTAAACATTCTTAGAAAAAGCATCTACCGCTGCCCGCACGGTGTAATATTACACCAAAGTCATATTCTCGGACATTGCTTGAACAAAATATTGTTAATAATTAATGTAACTATTGTCAGAAATTAATTTTTATTTATTCCAGCTAACAGATATGACGATATAGAAGAATTTCTCACGATTACTGTGTTCGATGAATACTTATTTCGAATCGTGATTCTTATTAATATTTAATCGAAGACTGAATGTTACCATATGCATTGTAAATATTTAATTAATTCGAAAATGTACATATTTAAAGCATTTTAAAGTTTCAGATTATCATACCAATGTTCTTCGAGAAAGTAATACTTCCGAACATGAAAAGCTGAGAATAAAATTTAAATAAGTAATTGTGAGATATTTTTCTATATTTTAGTGTCTATTGATTGGAACAATTAAAACTTAGTATCTCCGACATCATTAAACATTTGTGATACATACAGTATCATTCAATTTTAGATTAGAGATTAATAACAATTACGGTTCAGAATAAGTATCCATTCGAGACATTAATAATGTTAACAAATAATGTTGTGTTCCCTTAAAGTGTACGCTATCTTAGAAATAATACATGTTCGAAAAATGTTGGTTTAGAGCAGAGCTTCTTAAACTTTTTTTTATTCACGACCCCTTGTATGATGGTGATTTTTTCGCAGCCTACAAAATATAAAATAAAGATGTGTAAATATTTTGTGATGATTTATTAATTAGATGACAATATATGTATATACATATGAAAAGATATAATTTTAAAATTTGCTTAAACACATACAAAAATATAAAATTAAAAATTGCACAAAAAGTTGTAAAATTGTATTTATTATAGTTACAAAAATTATGACGCTTTTAAGTGTTTTACTTGAAATTTACTTTAACTAAAGAAAAAGGTAATTTAAATAAACAAAGAAACAAACGAATTCCCTTAAATACCACTTTTATTCACACTATTGTTGTATTTTGTAATTTTCAAATGTATGATATCTCTTGAAACAATTTCCAGAATGTAATCCTGGTTTTCTTTCTTTTTCACAAAACAATTTGGGTTCTCTTTCTCCTCCAGGTATTTTTCTATTTGAGCAAACTGCACAAATTTTGTATTTACCTCGAAGATGTACGAAAATAAATCGAGACTTTCCATCTAAAGGATCGTGTTCATCATATGTTCCAGGCCTTCCCTATTGATTTGGACACGAAAGAATATCGAGCGAGGCTCGACAAAGGAGCTCCTAAGATAAAAACCAATGTCAAATCACACTCGACATAGGAGTGCAAAGGGTCAATACACCAATCTCTAAATGGTTCCACTTGCACCTGTTAACAGCAAGCGTCGACAGCTCGCACGCGTTCGACAAATCGGGCGAAACGTTTCGAAACGGCATCGACACTCAAAGGGGTTAAACAAATTCCCATCGATCTCCACGGTTTCCGTAGTGCGTGCTCCAACCCCGAGCGTCCATCGAATCAAGCACGATTCATTACTATCACCGAAGTCGTCGATGACAATGGGATTCTTTTATTTTCGGACAAACCTCGAAGAGAAGCATGGACGGCAGAATGAGAAAGTAACGACGCGCGCGGAGCGAAGACGCGGCTGCTGGCAATAGAAGAGGGTGGTATGTGCAAAAGGGGGCGAGTATTGGTAGACACAGATGCGAGGGGTGGTTGCAGGTTGATAGTCAAGACTGCCTTCAGATTCCAGAGTGAAGCATTGTGTCCCGAACGCGCATTGTCCTCCCGTCACCGGGAACTCGACAATGCCGAGTCCGTAAGTTAGTAACCCTACCGTAAAAACTTATCTCCACCCCAAACCATCGACCTCCAGCCTCCGTGATTCCGTTCGATTTCCAACCTCCCGCCTTTCCGTCCTGCCTCGGTGTGACTTCTGCTGGCTTTTCCGCCCCTTCGTCCTTCGAACGCAAGAATCAACCAAGCATCGTAGGCATAGCAGCGATCCTCTTCTTACGAAGACGAATTAGGAACGCACCATCCGGGTAAGGATGACGCGTTGCGAGTATCAGGAGAGCTTTCCGCCAAAGAAGACTGTCGCTGCAAATTCAGCAGCTAGGGGCAGCAGCTTAGCACTTCGGTTCCGTGGCCTTCGTAACGTCGTAATCCGAGTCTAGGTCAGTTACCGAGTCCTAGTAGACCGAGGTCCTAGATGTGGAACAGTTTAATGACTACTTCGTAAGTTGATTTTTAACAGGATATTTCAGGCTTTCGCGGTCCTGTTCTTGATTGATAGTTACTGAAGCTCCTGGTGTAATTGCGGAAACTCTTTTGGATAAGGTACTCCTATGTACACTAGAATTGTAGCTAACTTCTTCAGGGATCAAATGACACTGACATCGAGTGTGTTATTAACACGTTAAGTTCAATGTTTTGTTTGAAAGTCAATCATTGTTTAATTTACAATAAGTGAAGAATTTATTACTGCAGGAGTCTGAACTTTAAAAATTAATGTAATTTATTGAAACAATTTAAATTACACACATTTTGCAATACTTGTTAAGGAAACCCTTTGCTAATTCAAAATTTACAACACCCAAAAAGAATATTAATTCGTTAGATTAACCCTTTTAGTGTTGACCGTAAAAATTGTACCTAACCGAAAAGTACTGAACCAAGTTAACATAATTTAGTAAGGTTTGAGAATAAAATATGAACATAAAAGTGGGTGAGTGAGTTTTAATTCTAAGGGTGAGAAGTCGTGTATCTTGATTATAACACCTAATATACCAGTCTTGCATTTGTTCGTTCTTTAAATTCATTTAATTTTTAATTTTACATTACTTTGCACCTGCGTTTGCGTCGATACATCTCTTCATAATTTTTATATTAGGAATGCCAGTAGTCTGTTGAGACCCACTGGCCTTCCCTAGCTCGGGTACCTCGGGATTGCTAAATCCGTACTATAGCTATAATCACACATAGCTATAGCCCCTGAGGCCTATTAGTAATGCAATGTGCACATATAGATATAGTGATAAAATAATAGCTTATTATGACAAATTTTTTATTATCAAAGTTCGATACGAATAAAAAACGGCAATTGACGCAACAAATTAATATTGACTACGACAAGAATAACGTGCAGATAGGATCTGTTACGCGTAGAAATTAATTTTATACCTTTACATTCAATTATTAATAACTCCGGATTAAATAGAAAAATTTACCCGTCATTGTGTTACGTGAAAATACCAAATTATTTTATAGTCAGTTTACTTCGATATTTTATGTATAACGCAATATATGCTCTCTTAAGGAGTGGAATGGATGAGGAATGTGTTGAAAGAAAGAATGAGGAAAGAGAAGGAAGATGCCGAAGGTGGGAATGAGAGTAAAGACTCGATAGAATGAGTTAGAGAGCCGGAAAGAGTGAATGTAAAAGTGCGGTGTGCGTGTAAGGAAAACAGAGCATAGAAGAAGTACTAAGCTGCAGAACTCATAAATTTTTAAATGATGTGATGAAAGCAAAAGTTCTTCCTTATGTAAAAATTACAAGGAATAAATTATCTATCAATGTATGCTCTCTTGGCATGCGTGACTTATGAGACGCTCTGTCTTGTCGAAATTGTTAAATGTAAAATAATTGATCCTGTGCCTTTACATTCAATCATTTATAACTCTAAACAGAAATATTTATCCGTAGTTTTCTTAAATGAAGTTAAATTTTTAACACCTTTTACCACCTTTTAGTTTTTTGCACCCAATAATTTCAACAAGAGAAAAGTGTCTTCTCAGTAAAAACAAGATGTCGAAGCAATTCGTGTGTTCCATTCTTTTGAAGATTGATACTTTAATATAACAAAATGAGAAGTAAACATTTTAGTTTAGTCTAGAGTTATAAATGACTGAATGTAAAGACAGAAATATAATTTCTACAGCAAATTGTTTTTCATATTTAAGTTATGAATTTTTCATGCATATTAGCATACGCGAGATAGAAGAAGAAAAGAAGGATAGAAGATTGATGCTCTATTCTTGTTCGACTACTGGCGGGCTGCATTAAATCCATTGACTTTAAACTTCATTTTCAAGTTTTTTTATTATAATAAATGATATATTATAAGTAGTTTGAATCTCTCTAAACAAATATCTTATTATTAGACTGCGGATTTTAGCGGATTTTATGTATTTCTGGCGTACACTAATATGAAAAACATACGAAAATATACATAATGCATGTAAAATATATTCTATTAAATAATACAATAATATTAATATTTCGTAGTGCATAGGTACATATACCTTTTGGTTATGTTTAACACATACTTTTTATATTCACTACAAGTACATAAAATCCGCAACTTAAGTATCATAGATAAAAATATATAAAGTTCCCCTTGCAAAAGTTAATTTGTTTGTTAAATCTCCCCCGTACTTACAAAGAAATCATTTAAGCCATTCAGTTTGTCTTGTTGTACCAAATACGTTTTATAAAAACATTATTTGATAGCTTCACCGATAAAAAGGGCGTGTAATTATAAGAATACAATTCGGATGTATTAACAATGTGTTGATTTAATTAGGAAATAAATGTTTATTAGAGAACGTGTGTTACAAAAGGTTGCATCAGCGAGGAACAGAAAAAGGTAGTGTAAGTACAGTAAAGATAGAACTGCAACTCATAGGAAAAAGGAACTAAAAACGTGTATCACAGTTGGTACCCCTTAGCACCTATAGTCTCGTATATTAATAAACCTATCATTAATTACAACATTCACTTCCTCGGGAGGAAAAAAACGAAACACCCAATACATTTTCATATTTTGCGCGCGTGAACATCCGCAGTCTACTAATTAGCTTCAGACTTTGACAAGTCCAGATCCGCCAGTGTTTGCACCCCCCTGGCGAAAATTTGTAACTTCAACAACTGGTTCTCCGACAATATTTCGTTTGTCTCCGCTGCGATCCAGCAGAGACCGATAACTTTTTGGAACAGACCGCGGAGAACGTTCGCGAGCGATCAGGAGCCGAGTCGAAGAAGTCGATGGTCAGCAAACCCGTAGTAGCACTCTCGGGTCGGAAGTGAACGTCCTGGGGACCGGATACAAACATTAGGGGTTGGCGGGCGGTCCTCTCGTTGGGACTCAAGTTGCCGAGCAGCCGGACAACGCGTGGTCGCCGGACAAAGCTCTTCTAATTGTCCCCATCAACGACGAAGAATGGACCGCGGGCCTGCCACTGACAATTTCATTTGTAATTTGCATAAGGCTTATTAAAATCACAATGGACGTGGACCCGCGGGGATGCTCGATCGAGGCGGCCGCAGGCATCATTTTTTTTCTTTCTTTTTTTCGGCCTACCCGATAGAGAATAATCACGGCCACCGCGGCGCTGGTAATTGAAGTTTAATAAGAAGCAGGACTCGACTCGGGCCACTGGTAAGAAATAACAGACGAGGACGGGTGGCTCGTATAGCCCGCCTAACGCTGCGGATCTACGGCTAACGAGCCGCAACGACGATTAACACCAGGGAACAACGATTGATCAAGAAACTTTGACGTTGCGTGAAACTTACTTCTGAGACGGACGATCCGAAAGGCTGGCTTATCCATGATTATATCCACGGGACACACTATACACACTGTCACTCTTCGAATTCTTTAACACTTAACGAAATTTACAATATTTATCGTCCATCGACCCTCGAACGTCGAACGTTAACATTGAACGAAGCTCGAAAGAGATACTTGCGATAATATAATGCGATGTTTATCTAAATTTGTCACGTTAACGTTGGACGTTCGAGGGGTTGCTAAATTGGAGTAAAACGAGAAACCATTGAGAACAAAAAAGAGCGAACAAATTTCACATAAAAACGGGGGAAAATGTTTGTTTATCGTGTTCGTAGAGTCGTGAGATTAAAACATTAATAAGGAATAGGATAGTATACACGCGGAATCGCATTGTGGACGTTCCGTCGACGAATCCCGGCGCCGATAACATTTCTCGTTTCCCGAAATGTGTCGCGCACGTGAAAGACGGCGCGGAACTGAACCATCTCAAAACGCTATCATATCGCGCGCCGCCACATTCCCCCACCAGATTCTACCAAAATGCGTCTACGCATCTCTTATTCGCACGGCGAGGAATAAAATCATTCTGGAGTAGTTGTAAATGGAGTAAATGGACGTTCCACGGAAATTGAATTTAATGCAAATTCATATTTTCACGGATACAGAAAGGGAATTGAAACTTAAGTGAAAGTCTGTCTTATCTTCTAAATGATATAACATATTATTGTTGATATTTTATATATTAGATAGATTGGAAAGTAATGTTATTTCTCTTACAATAAGTTCAAACAAATTTTTAAAAAATTTCTTAACTGTTTGTAGCGTTAAGTTGCGAAGGTACTTTTATTTATAACAATTCGACTGTGAATTTATATGCAATTTCGTATTTTCAAAAATTCAGAAAAATAAGTGAAACTAAAATGAAAGTACATATGTCTAATCATCTATACGGCATACCATGTACATTATTGTTCACTTTTGATATATTTTTGCATTTGCACACGTTGTCATATATATTCCAATATTTCGAATTGTCCTAAATGCATAAACATACACAGTCTGTTGATCAATCCAATAAAACTTCACGAAATCCTCCTGTCGACCCAGCGCAGACCATTTAAAGGTGTACACTTTTATTTTAGATCAAAAAAATAGAATTTTTTGTTAATATTTTCATTGCAGATTATATTAAACAATATTTTAAAATTGTCAACGTTATATTTGTTTATCACTAAAACTACCGAGGTCGACCCTATATTATACAACTATGTGTTTGTAATTAGAGAAAGGAGAAGCAAACTAATTTATCAATCAAATTAGTTCTCTATTACAATAATTGTTCCCCTAAAGTGATAGCATTATTAATAACTGAGTGATTTTAGGAAGAAATTTGAATGAATTACTCGTTAAGATGATTAAACATGAAACTTTGAACGCGTTTTTCTCGAAATGCTGTTTTTCAAATATGTTCACGTGATACCTAAAAATTCATATGTGGACTTGAATCGAAATTCTATACACATATGAAAAACACTTGTAGCTGTAGCGTGAAGTAGATTATTTTTAACATCTTGGAAATTACTATTTTTTTTCATGTTATTAAAAGAAAACTGTGCCCACATAGTTACTTCTGTATTTTGCTTGTTAATAGTTTTAACAAGTTGATATTAGACTCTACGTGTAATGTAAACACAATATACATATAAATATTTAACATTAACTGTGTTGTTAACATTATAAGTGTGCTGCTCAATTCGTTTCGAAGTTACATAACGTATTCACATCACGTTGGTCGAAATGGGCGTAGAATAAGAGGGTACAAATTTTGGAACAAAAACTATGATTTAAATTTAATATATCATCACCTTGTCAATTTTCTTTTACTATTTTATTGCCTATTGAATGAAACAAAGTCATTTTTAATTAGTTCAATTCCATTCTACGCCCATTTCGACCAACGTGATGTGAATACGTTATGTAACTTCGAAACGAATTGAGCAGCACACTTATAATGTTAACAACACAGTTAATGTTAAATATTTATATGTATATTGTGTTTACATTACACGTAGAGTCTAATATCAACTTGTTAAAACTATTAACAAGCAAAATACAGAAGTGGGCATAGTTTTCTTTTAATAATAAATTATCAATTAATAATAATCTCTAATAATAAATTACTAACTAATAAGAATCTGTAGTAATAAATTACCAACGAATAATAATTTATAATAATAAATTATAAGGATTTATCATCAAAGTGTAGTCGAACAAACAGTTCAACTTTTATTTTAAATTGTTAATAAATCCAACAAAATGTTCGATTTGTCTTAAAGATCGCTTCAATCATTTGAGAAAAGAATGTTGTAACTTAATTAATTATAGAGACCAGTTCATAATCATTACTGTAATTAACATAGAAACGATGTTTAGGTCCCTCTATTTTTAATACTTTTTCCGTCCTATAAGGTAGAACAACAAATATAATAGAAAAATAAAGTAACAGAAAACAAAAGTGGAGTAATAAAAGGTTTGGAATGGACGGAATATAACTAATTAGGTAATTACCTTACTCCAATTATTACACCAAAAAATTGACGTACATATACTAAATAAACAAATTAAGCAAATTAGTTATGTTTTCTCCTATTCTGAACCTGTCATTATTCCTTTTTTCTTTTTTATCCTTCTTTATCTGTCACGTGTCTGTTGTTTCATCTTATGTTTATCATTTCCTTACTAATAGCAATTCCCAACTAATTTCAATTATAAAAATATAATAGAAAAGTTCATACTATAAGGTAAAACAGCTCAAGTTAATCAAGTTGCTATATAGAAACATAAAATCATAAGTCTACCATGCTATATGGAAACCTCGTTATAGAAAGATTTACTGTGTAATACAATTTCTTATTTTACTAATTCATACAACGCGTGTCGTATTAACAATGCTTCACAAGAGCCTTCTGCGTTTTTTTTTGCATCTTTCACTGCAGATTTGTTTTGCGGGAAATCAGTGTCTAACTCTGGGACAGCTGTTTTCCCAAACGCAAACACGATGCTCGTCACGAACGTATCCCTCCTCGCATATACAACCGCTCATGCACTCTTTCGTTTTCATGCAAGGTTCTGCCTCCCAGATATCGATGTTATCGCAGCCTTTCTCGCACAACGGATCCGCCTCGCACAAACTGTAAACTTCATTTTCACCGCAACCGGTTGAAATCTGCACTGTTTTCGGATCTTGAACGTTAAAAAACAATGGCTAACATTAAGAATTGCAATTCTTCGTCGATTAAGATAGAATTCCGGTTTGATTGGATGAAAAATCTAATTTTATATTTGAATGCATTTTCTAAAACTCTGACATTTTTAAGTCACATCTTTAAAATTGGATAGCTATATTCGAAGACTTGTAAAAGTTATGGTTTTTAGAACGGAACATTACGAATGTCAAGAAATACAACTTTAAGTTTAGAAGTCTGGCGTTGAAAAAATCTCGAAAAGTAATCAAGCGATTGGCTTGAAATTACACATGCATGTTCGCAAAATGTCAACGATTGATAACAGAATTATTGTAGTATTGTTTTTACTTTAACGAAAGTAACAAAGTAAAGAAACTTACCATGAAATACTGTTCCCGTTACTATTTGTTGATACCCAAGCAGAATGAAACTGATCGAAACGTAATGAACGCGCGAGAGCTTCATTCTGCTCGATGCACTAAAGAACAAATGCAACCGCTAATCGCGGCATTGTAACTTTAAATACTCGTGAAGCGATATCCAAATCGGTCCATGCTATCAACGAAGAGAACCAGTTTTACTCGCACGCGTAGGAAACATTCTCAAAACGTCGGTTTCCGTAAATGGTGCATCAAGGAGATAGGAAGAGAAACAAAGTGCGACGCGGAAACACAATTGGATGTACGGAATAAGATAAACAGTTTTTATATACAATCAAATTATATTTCATGTTAAACAAATAATTCATGGATTGAACAAACGTTACGAAATTCAGAGATGAGCGAAATTGGATAAATATTTCAAATATAAAATAAGATATAAAACTTCTGATCTGTCATTTTTTTTAATGGAAATTACGATCCGAATTATAAAGTGAAATTATATTTAATTCCTTGTCATACCGCTTAATGCAACAAAATCTGTATCATGTCGATAAAGGAAGCAGAGGTTCGCCAAACGAATAAAAACTGAACCACGATTATAACAATTCTTTCATTAAGTTCTCTAATTGTTTAGGTTTTAGTCGTTAACTCTTAGTTACTGACTCGAAACTTAACACCAGGAGCTCACTTATAGTATTCATGTTTGGTTCAATATTATGATCGCGGATGAGACTCGTCAAACATGGTAAGGCTAAAACTATCGAGATCGACGTGTACCTAGTATACAACTATATCTTGGTAGTTAGAGGGAGGAGCAAACTAATTTGTCAAACAAATTAATTCTCGGTTGTCTCTAAAAATTGCGGTAAAAGCATTTTTAATCATTGCGTTACTACAGACAAAAATCTGAAGTACGTGAGTTAAGTTGACGGACTTGGTAGTTTTAATATTTCACATTGAACAAGTAAAAATTTATCGAAATAACGGTTAAATAGTATAAACTTATCGAATAAATTGCTCTATGATATTTCTATGCGTCAATGAGAACAAAATTTTGCTCATCACTGAAGAAAATTACACACACACATACGGATTGGAGTTTTCAACAAGTGACGAAGAAAGGCAAACAGAAATACGCTGCTTTTCTGTTCTCGTGTTATGTATTTGCGGATCTTTAAATTGTACAGTAACTCGTTTACATACAACATATATAAGTGTCTTACTAGGTAAATTACTTGTATGATACCTTAAAATAAGTATTCGTAATAAAGAAGGAGTGGGCCGTGATAAACGGTTGTACCGAAACAAAGCAGCATGGGAGGAATTGAAAAAATTGGGCGTCTCGGCATGAGAGTGAGATACTAATTTCCTTACTAAATGAGGCTTTTCGATTGCGCCGGTGATTCCCGATTCGAATATGGTATAGGTTTTCCTCATTTGAAGCGCAAGGAGAATTAACAACGTGACGTATGTAACGGTAAAAATTCATAAATCGATTCGTAAGAAAACAATTTCAACCGATGCTATAACTCATAACGGTTTCTCATTCAAACAACGACGGATGCTCTCTAATTTTCTGATAATGAATGATAATGAAAAGCCACTCGCGTGCACGTAAAATATTACTGCGACCAAATACTTCCCTTCGAATATGGGCCACACAGCAGAGGCCTCGCTTTTTTCATGTATTATACCTTAACACGTTCACTGTCCGCCCTCTCAGCGACGGACGCGGTAGTGCAGCGTGTCGCTATAACCCGTAAACGGGACACTAGACTGTGAACGTGCTAATACTTACGCGACTGTTCCATTAAAAACAAGAAAAACCCGACACTGATGCGAGAGTAAGTACTAGAGTTGAAATACGTGTAAAAATCTTTTCGCTAACGAGAAAGAAACAAGAAAACGTTACAGTGGAGTTCGAAAGCGCTCGTTGTCACGCGAAACGAACACATCTACAGTCGATCCGAACGAGGAACTCGTAATTAGACGCATTTTTTTTACCACGAATATATACCACGTACGTAGATATTCGTCCGCGGTCACGACGATCGAGCGAAACGATTCGGTGCATTTACAATTACCCGTTCAAATTACTGTTCCCAATCGAAGCTAAAAGAAGAAAGCAAAATAAAAGATCGTGTTTCCCTCGATCGTCACGACCACCGTTTACATCACATTTCATTACGATATATCCCCAATCTCGATATTTTGTATTCTCTTTTTCCGTTTAAATTGTACCGAGAAAAATCGTTCCAGTATGGCGATATTAAGAAGTCTATGCCTCACGTGATCCGGTCGATGTCTAACGCCGAGAAAATGTGTGTAATTATATCACAGACGAAGGAGAAGAATCGAAGAAGCAGCAGGCGGCGACGGGGCTTTCTACCAAATCTTAGCGGCAAGGGCTCTCTGCATTAAAACATTCTTGCTTCGCTGCTTCATGCGCGCAATGAAGTACTCCTTGCCGTCCAGGTTATCGCCAACAGGTCCAACCTCCTCATTCTAGCAACAAACGAGAGTTAGTTGGCTCCTAGGTCGCATATTTCTTGCACGTGTGGCTCATCACCATCATCATCATCATCATCATCATCATCATATCATCATATCATCATGATCATCATCATCATTATCATTATCATCATCATCATCATTATCATCATCATCATCATTATCATCATCATCATCATCATCATCAATATCCTCATCATTTTACTCCTGATATTATCATCGATCCGGATTATCATAATCGTCACCGCGAAGACAGGCTGTTTTGTCGCGAAAGCCTACACAGAAGAGACCTAACCAACCTTGTTAGCTGTGTCGCCCCCCTCGCCCTCTCCCCACCTCTCGTAGTCATCGTCATCCCTTTCTTCGCCCTCGCTTAAAGGTCCGTCTTGCCTCTTGCTAGGAGGTACGTTCGATCCTCCCCCACTTTGCTGGTGCTCCATCACGTCGTCGCCACCCTCAAGCATTTTGTTGATCTTCTCTTTCGCTTCGTCAACCTTTCGCATCGGATCGGGAGAATAGCTACGATCGCTGTACCGATCGCGAGAGGCAGCCCGACGGTCGCGGAAGTCTCGTCTGTCTCGGAAGTCGCGGAAGCCCTGCTTACCGTGGAAGAATCTGCCGCCACGGTTACCACCGCGTCCACGTCCGCCGCCACGATTGTTGAAGCCACCGCCGCGTCTGTTGCCGAACCGATTGTTGTGCTGATTATTATAAAACCGATTGCGATTCTGGAAGTTGTTACCACCGCCGCGGTGGTTGGGGTTATTGAAGCCCTGGAAACGAGGCTTATAGTATGTGCCACGGTTGTTGTATGGTCGGAATTGCCTCTTGCGATAGTAACTCCTGTCCCCGGACCTGCTGCGGCTACGACTCCTCGTGTACGATCTGGATCGTGACCTAGAGCGTGATCTACTGTACGTGCCCGAAGGAGATCGGCTGTACTTTCTCTCGTAACTGCCGGATCGTCTGTTCGAATAAGATCGTGAACGACTTCTCCTGGGCGACCTAGACCTCGACGAGCCGGAACTGGAGGCGCTGCGAGATCTGCTGCGCGAACGTTTCGCTGGACGGTCCCTGCTCATTCGTTTGGTCACTGCTCCTCTACCGGACGACTCGCGTTTCTTGGGCGTTTGTCTGTGCTGCCGTTCCGCCTCGCTGTCGGAATCCGTTCTGGGTCCTTTAGCCTGATTCTGACTCTTCGTTGGTGGAGGTGGACGCGGCGGTTCCGGCGGATGCCCGGCACCACTGTTACTTTGCCCAATCGGCTGGAATTTACCACCGAGATTGTTACTCGAACTGAATTTGCTAGGTACTGCTTGCGCTGCAGACAACGACGGGTCTTTGTACGACTGGAACTTGTTCTGTGGTTGTGGCGTAGGATATTTAACCGGCGCCTGTTTCGGAATCGGTGGCTCTTTGGGTAACGGCGGTGGAGTCGGTGCAGACATTGGTTGCGCGGCTGCCGCTCTCTTTTCTGCGAGCTCTCGTTGCATTTGTTTTCGAATGTTCATGGATTTTTCAAGGGCAGCACGCTGCAGCTTCTCTTCCAGTTCATTATCGTCATCTTCTTCGCTGTCCACGTTCGGTTGCATCTTTTTACTTTCCATGGTGACGTCTTGCCATTTTTGGGGAATAATGTCTTTTTGCCTAAACAAACAAACAAACAAACAGACAACAATTAATATTTGACAACAGAATAAACAACGATAAAACAAATGTATGTTTATGGTATTGATCATTTATTTTACCTGGCGGCCTGTGCAGCTTTCCACTTTGCATTAAGCGCAGCTGTATCCAGAGTTGGTAACTTTGGCTCGGGATGGATTAACTGAGACTCCTGCTCGAATATGTCGGTCAGCGGTTTCCTCTGAATCTCTGTTAAAAAATGAAAATCACGCGATGTTAGGTCGAGTAATGACGAATACGAACCGCTTCGATTCTTTAAGTTCCGGAGTGTTACCTTTACGTTGTTGTGCGGTCATTGGTATTCTAGATTCCCGTTCGTGATACGCCTTCGAAGCTTCATCTCTCTCCCGTTCCCTCTCCCTGCGCAGCTCCTCCTCCCTTCGTGAACTCTCAGCGAGCTTCTCCGCGTTGCTAAGAGGGGAAGCTATGTCATTATACTGTGCTACATACCTAGTAAATATAAAAACATAAATAAAATACGGTATGTTATAGACCGCTTTTCCATTCATGTTTCTTTAAAAGTTGCATCAATTGCGGGTAAATTACTAACTAATGAAATATGAATAGAATGAAACACTGGGAAATAAAACCGCCTCGTAACACGTTTATGAAAATATTCTCCATGTCGACGAAAATATTGTATAAAAATAACCGGAAAAACAAGAGCGAAACGTTATCATGAACTGGCCATAAGGTTCCAACCTTTTCAAGACAGCGGTCTCTTTCTCAACTTTCGCATAATACGCATTCAGTTTCGACTCCAACTGTTCTAAGTCCGGCAATGAAGATTTTTTGAGGGCTTCTAAATCCCGTTCAAGTTTGTCCTTATTTTTCCGCTTCTTTCGCTCTTCCTTCTTCTTCTTCTTGCGACTTTTCTTGTCTTCCTTCTCTTTGTCTTTTCCTTTCTTATCCTTCTTCTTCTTTTTCTTCATTTTCTCACTCTCTGAATGTTTCTTTTCCTTCTCTCTTTCCCTCTTCCATCTGGCCGTTTCCTCCAAGAACTTTCTTACCTAAAGGTAGGTAAACATACAATGAAACCCAAAATTATACACTGCGAGTCTCCCTTTATATAACAGATAAGTAGATAGCGGTAATTGTTTGTAGAAAATATTTAGTGCTTACCTTATCTTCATAGTCGGAGTCGTCCTTGGTCTGTTCTAAAAATTTCCGCACCTTTATCTCGTAGTCATCCATCTTGTCGCGGGCGTTCGAGCTATAGGCCACTGGTGCTATGACGTCATGCGCAGCTGTCGTGGCAGCTGGTGGATTGTTGTATTGAGCCATGCGCTTGCTGAGAGGCGACAACGAGCCACGATGATCTTTCTTGTGTTTCCGTTTGCGACTGGGCGACCGAGACGCCGATCGCGAGCTTCCGGATGAAGAAGAACTGCTGGATTCCGAGCTTGAAGAACTCGAGGATCCACTCGACGATGAACTGGAACTCGAACTCCATCTTTGTCTCTTCTTGGACCGCGACTTCCTCTCCTTCTTACGCTTTTTCTTCTCCTTTTTATTTTCACCGACATCGTTTTCGGTCTCGAAACTCTTAAACGTGTCTAAAGGATTCAAAGAGGACGTTAAGGTCTTGGACTTGATGTATTCGATGGAGTTCCTAGCTTCTTCGTGATACGGAGCTATTGCCAAGCAGTTCTCGTACGCTTTTTGTGCATCCTCGTACTTCTTCTCGTCTTCGAAACTTCGACCCAGAGCAACGAGAGTTTCAGCCATGTATTTGCGGGCATTTGCGTGAGTTTGATTCAGCTTCAATGCAGTCTCGAAATCTTCGATCGCTTTCTTGAAACTGCCGCTGTTGGCATACCTGTTAGAATCAAAGGAAAGCCGTAGTATGAAACGAACGAGAATATGATCACAAGATTCGATTCGCCTGTTTAAAATTAGGCAACTTACAATGCTCCACGGGCCACTAATCCCTCAACATTTCGCGGATCTACTGTTAGTGCTTTGTTGAGACACTGGAAGGCTTCCGTATGACGACCGGCCTTGAAATGATCTATACCTTCAGCTACGCTTCGAAACGCCCACTTACTAGCCTGCGCCTGCCTTAATTCAGACGCATATTCATTAGGTGGGAATCTCTCTCTGCAAAGGTGTATTTTAAAATTATAGTAGGCAAAGTGAAGTTTAATAGTACACAAAAATTCTCAACAAAAATGCGATAGTTTACCTCAAACCAACCATGTTAGAGTGGTTTTCTTGACCAAGACCCATCAAGTCGGAAAGATATTTAATGTTGTTTGGGTTGTTGAAGCCAGTACTATTCTCCAACATCACTTCGTACGCCTGTCCTTTGTTCTCCATCGCTTTCCTACACCACAGAGAGAGACGACCGATTATTATTAATGTGCAACGATCGTTTTGACCTTCGCCAAAAAGAGGATACCAAAGCTACTTCGTTAACGGTAAAACTAAAGACTTGATAATCATGACGACCGAATGTTTATATATGTCCTGTGCTTTGTTATCCTGGCAGAGAAATTTTCTCGATCTGATCGTATGTTTGCCCCTTCGGTTTTTGTTTTCGACATCTCGTCGTCTTATCTAGTTATACATACTAATATGCATATCCTTTGCTGCTGTTTCTTACACGTGTATTAAACGTGCGGCACACCCTTCATCGTTTTGTTCATCCCTGCGCAATGATCTCGCCTCTTCTCTTCTCTTCGATCTGCATGAATTATTCAACGATACGACACTAATGCCAAAGATGCTTCGAAGGAAAAGAAATTCCTTTCAGAAAGAGAGAGAGAGGGAGACGGAGAATTGTCAAACACCTCGTGGAATTAGAGTCGATCAAAATCTACGTTTGTACCGTTAACAAGCAGCAGGGGTCCAAAACAGGGATACATTGCAGAAAGTCGGTAAGTTTCCTTTATTACCAGAGATAATTTCTTATTTATAAATTTACAATGGTACACAACCTCATTATTATGTAAACTCGTCTCTCACCTTTCATGTACCGCTAAGACGTATATTTCTAGTATTTTGTATCATGTTTGTAATCAGAGGATTTCTCAACACAAAAGCACACAGCCTATCATCAATCGACGGTGGTTTGGTATTTTTAAATTTTTGGTGCGATAAAATAAATTGCATAGCCCTAGGATAGGTTGGGAGCCACGCCTGAGTATATTTTATCTTCCAAGTTGACCAAAAAAATTTTTTTTTTTAGATGTAGTAGTATTTGTCGCCTGTTTTGCATTTTGTGGTGTCAATTCAAATTGACATATTTTTTATATTTTTTATTTGTCAATTTAAGCTGTAAGTTTAAATGAGGCATTATTATGACAAGGCGCGATTCTTTTGAGGCTTAAAGGTAAAGGTTCGGGCGATTAAGATTTTAATTGTTTGGTCTCTGCTTCAAGTTTTAGTGAACGCTACGATGACTGCGCTGTATCTTAATTCACTGCATAATACGTCACACGTAAAACATATATCAATGGCACGTACTAATAAATGATGCTGTTCGAATATTTATTAGAATTTAGTACATAATTGACACACACGAAAAGAATTTTAACCCAAGGCTTCACGAATCGATTAGATTATCTTCACTTATTCTATTATCTTATTCTGGGCAATTATTTCATTAATAATTTACTATAAGAGACCAAACAACGATAAATCATTATTATACCTACCGTCTGCAGCACTCACTCTGACCACCCAAGGCTCAACATCTCATACTGGAAATGCAACCTCAAAAGACATTGATGTCATTGGCGCCATAGTTTGGCTGGTGCTTTGAGAGTAACATATCACAAACGTAGATAGAATATTGTGCGCAACAGAGCCATGTCAACCAATGCTCAAGGTTTGAATCATTTGTATCACATTATAAATTCATCATCATACTGACTATCAACTTTACGTTACTGAGAGTGTCTGGCACCTAAATTCATAAAAACGTGTAAGAGGAATCAAAATCTAATTTACCTTGTTTTGTTAGTATCACAGTGCGTCTGTTAAATCTTAACTTCTTTTGGCCACCATACCATTTTCCTTACCTTCTATTTAACGAAAAGTATTAAACAAAACACTAAAGATGCAAGAAATCTGCACTCTCACTTATAATGCAAGTTACAAACAAAATAACTACACTGTCGATAGAAGATGCATTTCGCCCACGATTGAGATTATTATATCGATCCTAAGTCCGAAACTACCATTGTCAGAAAATATACCCCCTGCCATCGTTAGTGCAAGAGTGCTCTCAAAGTACATTGCAAAAAGCAAACGATCAGAGAACGATTTTCAATTCAAATAAAAATTTTCATTCGATAGTGCTACAGATGCATCACAAAACACGTTTACCATTTGTATATTGTGTATATATAGAATTCCCTATAGTGATATATACGTCAGTTTTCAAGAGTTAGTGAAGCATTATTGTAAAATACAAGGAATAAATGTACTTATCCAGATTTTTTATTACTTACTTATAAGCTTCCGGAAGGTCATCCGAATGGATAAGTCCCATAGGTGGGTGTGGGGCTTGCCCTTCACGGGCAGGTACGTTCATAACTGCAACAACTCGCTCGGCTTCAACGTTAACTTCACTGACTACGACGCAGATGAGATCATTTGCCATGTAGCCTCTTGTAACACCTTTCTTGTCCACCGCCGGCACTGTGGCCGTGTTCAATATCAGAGCCTGTTCATTACATCATAATTTTAGAAACCAATGAAAACTATAAAAAAAGAACATTAATTTTATCGATGGCAAATGTCTTGACTTACCTTAACTCCTAAATCGGTGACAACTCTGGGGCAGTCGCTGCAGTTGCAAAGCACCTTCAGAAGAAGCCCAGCAGCACTTTTACCCATCACTTGTGAGTAAATAACATCTCCAATGACCAAACTCTGGAAACAAAATTTTCATTACATTATTTCAAATATTTTATATATTTAAACATCAATTTTATCTGTACAATAAATAATTACCTCCAAAAAATTACGAATGCGTTGAGATTTTTCCATGGTAACAAATGTGTCAAGGCCTGGCATTGTTGCATAAAATTCTGAAATAACATATGTCATCCATGAATTGCACAATATTGTGTAACCTCCAGAGGACTAGAATGAAATCAAATAAAAGTAGAACCCTACCTTCATCTCCTAATTCTTGCTTGATGGGATCAACTGTTCTCTCCAAATTTGACTTATCATAGAGAGCATCTGCTTTCTTTGCAACGAATTGTTGTAGCTTTAGCCTTTTCCCTCTATCGCCAAAACTATTGAAAGAACATCCAAGTTGTAATGCATTCATTGTTTAGAATTATACTAATAGATTTCTAAACAGTGTGTTGATAACTCTATGTTTGTATTAGGTTGTCTCAAAAGTTTCTTTCGTTTTATTAATAATTAATTCATACACAATATTTTATGTTTTATGTTACATTACAAACTTGTGTACGATTCATTTTGCTCCATTACTGTTATAGCATCAATGTCTAAGAAATTAGATTGTCTATTTATATAAACACTGTCACAGAAAATAATTGAATGCAACTGATGAAAGAAACTTTTAGGACAACCTAATATATATTACATTAGTGGCCAATGGGATATTGTATATGCAAACACAAGGTTATCGCTGTAACATTAAGAGTACACGAATATATATACCTAAGAGTCTTTTGTCGCTGTTGATAAATCTCAAAATTTGGTTCCTTGAGATTGAGCATGGCCAGCTCATTCTCGTTACGTTCTCCCTCCCAAACTTTCTGCAACTGTTGGCCATGGTAGTTCAATGCTTGCGCCACAAGACGCGCATCCATTGATTCCATTTTGATTCAGTACTGCAAGCAACCTAGTCCTGCAATACTACGAAAATCGGCAGATTCGTAATGTTTTTCCATTTGCGATGTTCCAAGATACTATCCAAATCAATAGGTAAGACTTTAATAGCTGCCTCTCCGGCCGACTGCCCGAAACTGGCATGCAAAAAAGGATCACCGTCCAATAGCCAAGGACACGTGTTTTTTGTAACGAATAAACCGCTATCTCATCACGTTGTTATATCCAAAAAATTCTGGTAATTGCAACCGGCTGAGGATTTGGTTGAATGCTAGCAGCGCAAACGTATCGGTCTCGTACGGATTTTCGAGGACCGTGAATCATACCTCCAAAAGGGGATGGTATTCTGCGCAAGAACGCGCTTCGACACAAAGCGAATTACCAATAACCGGTTTCCAGAACGATTTACCTGTAGTCGTTGATAGTCCTCAGGCGAACCGTAACAACGACGTAATAGAACAAATCCGTCGAATATTCTTTATATGCAAGAAAAACGCTTACGGAGAAGAAAGGCACGTTATATTGATTTATCGATAACAAGATGGTCGTCGGGAAGCCGGATTGCGAAGGCCAACGGCGCCATGACGCTCCCAAATGGCCACCACTTTTATCTCGACGCTCATCCACGCCCGTTTTTCAATATGGGCATGCCGGACCGGCCAAAAAAGAACCCGGATTATTACTCACCGTTGCTCCCGTATTATCTTCCGTCGATCTGTTAACGTGTTTTCCAACTATATCACGATCCACTATGCAACATCGTTGACGATCAAACAACTGCGTGCTCGAATATCGCCATACGCCGCACACAAGTCGCAATTACGACAGAACCGGAAACGAATAGACCCGTGACGCCTACGCCTGCGCGGAACAAACTTCCCCCTCCCTCTTTTTTGCCGAGTATTGAACTATATATTACTTCCGGTTTGGCGGTTTAATTTGAAATGATATATATGACACTACTGGCGGTTCGTTTTGAAAATGTTTAATAAAGAACTACACTGGCTTAATTCGAATAAACATACCACCGAATTCATTACATTTTAGATTATTGTAAATAAAAACGAATGCGATTTTTACATTGTATCTTTATTTGCCGGTTTTGTGTGATAAAAATATTGGTCATAAGTAGTTTATAGTCAATATTACAGTATTTGAAAATTTAAACTTGAGTAATATTATTAGTATTGCATTCTCCATTGTTTGACGTACAATGTTTTGTTAATTCAAAGAGATTAGAAATTACGAGACGTAAAAATTTTTTTTACTACACTTGTCTCTGGTATACGCAAACTGCGTCCAATAAAATTTAATTAACGCAACAACAAATTCATTATACTACAATTTCTTCGTTAGAACCTTTTCAGAGTTTAAATTATAAATGTATTAAAACAGTTCCTACCTTTTTTGCTACAAAAGTGGCATGGCTCTTTAGGAAATATTAGTTCGTGAAAATAAATTGTTTATCTATTCGAAAACTGTAATATCAGAATGTTAATTGTTTGGTTATCTTCTCTCATTTTTATGTTTTGTGTTAATATACTATTTTTCATTCTGACATCAGTAACATACAAATTACATAATAATTTACTTATTGGACCTTCTTTGGTTTCTCTTCCTTTGTTACATCTACATTCCAATAGTACAAAATTTGAAAAGCTAACACTGCATTTGCAAGTGTAGAACATATGTACATTGATATCATTATCTTGTCTCCTGTTTCTTGAATAGATGTAAATATTCTTGCTAGGGATCCAAAGAATAGCATAAAACCAGTAACTGCTGACAGTTGACCAGTACTTCCATTTGAGTAATTTGTGGAGGCTTGCATAAACTAAAACAACACACACTATCAATAACCTACTGCTTGTGCATAAATTAGATCGTTTATAAATTAGCCTACGTTTGAATCATACCTTACTGATAAGAACAATGGGTATATTCATTGCCTGACAAGTCCAAAGAACACTCACTGGAGTTAAACCGCTTAGAGCAGCAAATAATACTGCTAAATAAGCGGCAACAAATGCACTTGCTTGGGCAGTATTACCACTGTAATACATCACTAAAACTGCGATAGTTAAAGTTTGTACTCCTAGAAAAACTCCATCTCCCCAGGCACTAAAACAGGTTAATTATTCTATTTAACCTGATATATAGGTAGCATTAATTATTTGGTTTTCTTTTTATCTTGCATTACCTAAATGGAAAGCCACTAATGAAGCTGTAAGATACCATTGCGGTAATAGCAAAGAGATCCAATAACACGCTGAATATATTAATACCTTTGGCATTTTTACTCTGAAGGATTTTTACAATTTGTGGTACTTTCACTAGAACAAGAAACAAATATTAGAAGAACAATATTATTCCAAGTAATTCATAGAATTTCTATTCATAGCAGATAGATAGCTGCAGTTTCTTCATTTCAAATATCTAAATAACAAATATCATAATGCAAAATTTTGCATAAAAATAAATGGTCTAACCGAGGAGAGATCCGCCAATGATTCCGAAGCCGAGAACTTTGCTGAGTGTCGCTTTGAAGCATCCCACTGAAACATGATGAAGACTTTCATGCTTTACTTGAAGAGGTTCGTATCTTCTTCGTAAAAAATTCATTTTAAATTTGGTGAAAATTTCTTTTTATCGTCGCGAAGGAATAATGACTTTTAATTTATTAACAAAGAAAATTTGAACATCGTCTAACGCTCGTTACAAAATATTAATTCGATTACTCGAAAATATAGTATACAACTATAACCTGTAAGAGAATTACAAATTGAATGAAAATTTATGAATGGAATATCGTGGACAAATTAATCTTTAACTTTGTAGATTAACACAACAAAATATAAAAATTTATAGCCATCTCACGAAAATTTATGTTTTCTTTCTTTAAATACAGCGCTCGCTGTCACGTGACATTACAGCAGTGCTGTAGCGCGACCTATCACTACACGTCGCTCGCTCTGTTACAATAATCTTAAGATAAAAGAATATAGGAATGTTTAATTAACAAAACTCTTACCGTGTAAGAAATTGAAGTCATCAAAGTATTCCTCCAAACATTCATCTGTGAACAATAAGTGAGCAGCGTCCCTTATTAACTGAGTCATAATTGCCACGACACACGTTTAACCACACTAGCTTGTCGAATGTACAGTCATGTATGTACAGACTGATTTTCGTCTATGCTATGTTTCGACTTTTAGGTTAGTATCTAGCGATTTTACACTAGCGGAACTTTCATACCAACGGATAAAGCATTACCGCTCTTATTCTATAAATACGGATATTACGTGATAAACAAATTTATACTGTTATTACCACGTCTAAAGATATACTTTCAATTTTTTACAATACTTCAATTGCTCAGAATTGATTATAAACATGTAATATATGCACAAAAGTACATGTATAGCATAAATTAAGTACAGAATACATAAAGTTTATTCAACGATTTCTTTACATACATTTACATTTAGCGATTAAGGACTAATATCGTTTATTACGCAATGAATTATGTATCTCTGATAATCTTTTAGTTTATATGTATTATTTGTATGGTCAGACCACGAACGAAATTCTGTTATCAAAGAAGTTTTTGTTAGAAATTGATTTTTCGAAACTAATAGTATAGATAAGATGTATAATAATCTTGTTAGCATTAGATGGAAAAACGTTTTGAAAGACTTGAGGGATTACAGAGGTCGCATATTATTTTCCTGTTTTTATTTTTAGATCTTAATTTAAATTCCGTCTGTTCACCGCTAGATAGCTATTCATTTCAGTGATATTGTATATTATATTTTCTGTATTTTCGAATAATTTGTTCGTACAATATGCTTTTAATTTGTTCAAAATTGGCTCTAATCTAAAAATATGGAAGCATGAATATTAAACGTTTCGATAAAAGTTTTATCTCTGTAGAACTACGTCAGTGAAGTTACTTCCAGGTGCTTCTGGGTCGATATTTTAATGACGTTATCTAGCGTCAAAGATGAAAACTGTTTTACCGATCAAAGGTTTAAGATTAGTTACATCTGTTCACTGTTAGATAGTTCTCCATTCAAGCGAAGAAAATTTGAATCAAAGTATCAAAGTGAATTGATATGTGTTGTATTTAAACAATTAATTTGCATCAACAATTGAAAATGATAATTTTTGAAGAGTAAAAACAAGCTCCCTTTTTTTTTAATAATACTTATTCTTACAAAACTGCTTTATATTTTTGCAAATATAATAAATATTATATATTATAATAGTCTATAGTAATAAGTGATTTCTAAATATACAAATTTGTCTATTTATAGGGACATTTCATTCAATATGTTTTTACTATTTCTTTTTGTAATATTCTGTCCTTTTTTTATTTCTTTCTTAAATATATTTTTATTTGTAATACTATTTGATATCTTGGTATAGATTCATTGTTGAACTGTAATTACTATGCATAAATAGTAAATTACCTTCTATTAAATCCGTTTTATCCTTGTCACAAGCCACAGGGTTTTTACTAAAATACCTCTTTATTGGATGAAGTATAGTCTATAATTTCTTTTTCTGTCCTTATTAAATTTTATTACGCGTTTTATAACATGTAAATTGAACAAAAAAGAATAGAATATGTCGAACTGGCCTTGCTATACTGTATCAATAAGAGCCATTCACTCATGTGGCTTCATGTTAGATCAGATGAAATTTGGAATATAATCGAAGATATGAAGAGTGATTAGACATGGAATATTTTAGAGAAATAGTAGAATACACAAAACAGAATATTTCCAATATTACAGCTACTTTGTCATCTTATTAAAATTTTCCACAATCTATCTACTTCCAAGTAGAGTATTCCAAAGCTCTATTTCATACCAGCTTATGTTCTAAGAGAGGAACGATTTAATACCACTTAGAAGTTTAATACCTTTTTTCTGCCTCATAATTTAGGTCTACATCAAAGGAAAACAGCAAAGATGGGAGAATATGATGAAAACCGTGTAAATAAACATGAATTTATTGAAATATATCAGAGATACCTTTCTACATTTAATTAATTGTTAATTAATATGTATAACAATTATTTATTTTATAATATAGCATGTATTTTTATAGCTTGAGAAGACCAACTAGTCAAATTTCTCGAAAATATATTAAATGAATGCGAATCCAGATTTTTTCTTTTACGCAATGTTTGTATCCATCTTAAAGACTAAGTAAACATTTTTTAATTAAAAGGCCATTAGGAATGGATCTTCTAGAAATCTGTAATTTTGGACTGCACCTGTTAATAATTTTGTTCGAAAAAAATAAAACAGCGTCTTCTTTCAATGAAAAACAGGACTTCGCTATTGTATAATCGCTATTTTAATCATTTTGTTATTATTTCTTTTTTCACAGGTTCAGGCCGAAATTACCGACTATTTACAACCATATTAAAAAAACAACAGGCATCATTAAAAATGATCATTTAAGAAACCATACGCAGCGACATTTTTATACATATGTATGTGGCTAGACAAAATAATTCTTACTCTTCAGAATACGTATAAATATTATACGAGTATAAAAACAAGTTTTGTCATTATTCTGTTTTTTTTTCCTATATCAAGACTTTTACTGGCATTTGCTTGGAATTATTCGAACGATATTTTTAATGCTACAACTTCACTTCTCGATATTTTCAAACACATCCTGTCATCGATAGTGACATGTTTGTCCCACGGATCATTCGTTCGTTCGGAGTTTGTCTGTACCACGTATCCTTTTCAATATTTCAGTAACAAGTTAACAAGCACCCTTATAAATTCAACCATCCATCGCTCCGCATCGAGCAGCCTCCGAATGAAGTCTGACAGCAGTATTCTATGATTTCCAACAACACATATCAAACTATAACTAATGGTAAGAACATTATTTAGGCTAGAAAAAGAAAGATTCAATTTGAATTACTGGGTTCTATAATTGAATGAAGTGTTATCTTAAAGTGGATTCATTGAACAGGTGTTAGATACTACGAATAGGTATATATCTACAAAATAAATAGTTTTTAATTACTTATGTTAAGTTTTACAACGTAGTAACTAATACGTCTATACAGATGATCACAAAAGTATTCGTCCATCCTATATCCACATCATATTTTACGCTCTTAGTCAATTTCAAAGTTACAATAATCATTTCTAATTCACTTTCACGTAAAGAGTAAATTGTACACAGTTTATGCAAGAAATATACTTTTATTCGTAGAATTAGGAAAAAGAAACACACACGAAAGAATTTCGCGTAAAATTAATTAGTAAGGGAGACCGTGGTGAATTGATACATGAGTCAATAGCAAGTAAAACAACTTTCAAATGATTAGTAATGGGACAGGGGGTCGAGGGGAAGGGGACATGTTTTCGTGTCTGAACCTGTCGCTCAGAACGTGTCACCAATTTTAATACTTTGGACGTTTTTATTTGGGTGTACTGATTTTTCAACGTGAAAAGTAAATTTTTTTGACTGTTCTTATTTAGTTTATTAAATTCAAAATATTGTTCCTTTCTCTGTATAATTTGCATTATAACTACTATGAATATTTTAGTTAAGTTTAGAGTGTAAGAGGCCCTTTCCCTCGAAACGCGTGCGATCTCAAACCGCGCAAGGCCACGCGGGAGATACGCGAAACGAATGGAGGGAACTCCAAGGGTTCTCGCCTCTGGTGGTGATCCTGTCGCGGACGAAAAGTGCTCCGGAGCACGTTCGCGGACACACACGCTCGATCCGCGCTCTCACACACACGCAACACAAAGGGAAACCCAACGCGTGGGCCCTACCTGAACTGGGTTGACCTCGGGTCCCAATATCCCTCCTTGGTCGGTCCTCGTCGGCGTAGAGTGGAGACTCACCCACACACTCGCGAAACAACAAAAAGGTTTCTAACACCTACTCTTTTGCTAACGGCGGAAAAGGGCGCTCGCTCGCGTATATAGATCCGTTCGATTCCCGGTTCAACCGTTAATTCTCCCCCAAATCGCGCTCTTCTCGTCGCCGGCTCGCGGTTCTGCCCACACAGGAGCTTTAAGGGACTCCTTACGGTGTGCCACCACCATGGCATCTCCAACGTCGATTTCTCCTCTCGTTGCAGCTCCGGGCCGATGGCAAGGCTGACCATCTTTAGAGGGTGGCAAGTCCTCTTTGGTGGTGGCCACGCTGGGGTTCTTGGGTGGAGGACACCGCGACCGGCGACTTACCGCGCTTTCGCGAGGGGGCGCAAAAGGGGGTCTGTAACGGATCGCGGGCCATTCATACCTCCACACCGTTTCGTGGACCACCTCCGCGGCGTGTTCGGCGAGGAGAGAGCGAGGAACCTCCGGGGTCAGGGTGCCTTCGTGACGGGCAGTAAAGTTCTGCCCCGTCACAAAATACATTTAAATTGTCGTTTTCAAGTAATTCATCTAATTCTTGTTTCATTTTTGGTGATTTTAGTGAATCTGATTGATACGTTTTAAATTGTCCTCTTATCAATTGTCATCTTATTCTCGTTTCCAAAATGGAATTAGCTATAAAACTATTCAAATGCCTTATTGTAAGGAAACATAAGATTTCTCGGACCCCTTCCTTCTCCTTCTTACATAAACTTTTACTAGTTAAATCTCGTTAGAAAACGTTATTAATTGACATAAATCAAGGATTAATTTTATAAAAAAAGAAACAATTATTTAGTTGTTGGCAAATGCGTATTATAATTAAAGGTTACGTTTGAAACAATCTTAAAGTAAGGAAACAAATCAATCACTCGTTCCTAGGCGAATTTCGACTCGTAGTAAAATATTACGTAAGAATTCCTTTAACCTCCCCCTCTCTCTTTCCGACCCGAGGTTAACTCGTGTAGAGATTTTTTAATCTCCCCTCCCTCTTGAGACCTTTACGGAATTAATGAAATTAACAAAGCACTAACAAAGTTTGCTAGATTTGCGACATCCGCTCAGAGTAGTTATCCGATTGCGTTTAATTTCGAAATGTCCACGTTAGCGAAAGTGACGGAATCCGGTAAGAAGCTCGCCGGTCTCGTAGGTAACGATTCCTCGACATTGCCATTATCACACGCGACGATCGGCGCGGCAGGTGAGCCGATAGTGAAAACGCGCGAGAGTCGACCGAATTCCAAAATAGTACGACGTTCCACGTATCTCCCTTCAGATTATCAGCGTGAAATCGAACTCGTGCAATTAGCGATAGCGGGTCGAAGTGATTTCGTTAGGCTCTTCACGCGAGCCAAGATGCGCTCGCATAAGTGGGTCAGAGCTCGCAGAACTGGAGCGGTTAGGCGAAACCACGCGAGCGGTTTTTGCTTCTTCGCCTGCATTCGGCGGTCGAGAAGTTCCACAGGGGTGCCTGGTACGCTTCTCCAACCCTCGCACGTCCCTTCCGGCATTTTTTTGCCCTCCTTGGAATCCGATCTCGTAACTCATTAACGGTCGATTTGAAAATCATGAAATTTCATTCGTTGGAATTGTAGGTCAGTGTGTTAGGTTAAAGGGTTAGACTACTTTGCTCCGACCGAATTTTCGTGCTGTTTCGAGAACTTTTGTTGAAGCGATAACAAGATTTTATTTACATTAAAGTGCATTAATGTATCGTATCAGGTGTACAAATAAATTCGGTGCCTTTTTATCATATATTCGATGTTTATTTATAAGAAAAAAAAATACACGTTATGTTTCAAAGTAATCACCATCACTTTCTACACACTTCTTCCTCTTTTTGGGTAGTTGGCGGATTCCGTTCTTATAAAAAGATGGTGGTTTTGATTCAATAAACTCGTTAATGTTTTTTTCGACTTCTTCGAAAGATTTGAAATGAGAATCGACTAAGTGGTGTTGTAGCTACCGAAAAAGATGGTACTGTGAGGGGGCCATGTCTGGAGAATATGCCGCATGAATGAGAATCATTTTTGTAGCCTCTGCAGCATTCTTCTTCAACTCAAATGCAAAAGGTTATGTACCAATTAGGTTAAAGTTACATAGTGAATTTAGTAGCGTGAAGCTAATACCTTAAGAAACCGATCGGTGAGAAAAAAATTTCAATTTGAGATGTAATTACAGCTGAATGTACGTAAAGACACCAAACTTATTTGTACACCTAATATAAGTATTCGTCTAGAAAATCAGTTTTAATTTCTTTCATTTCTATAAAACTTGCGATTTGGCAGGCGATTTAGTGAAGCGTCTAAAAAATAAATGGTCTTGCGGTGTCGTGAATGGAAGTGTCTATTCAAAAAAATCGAGTTGACCTTGGAATGACATTTAAAATTGACCACGAGGTAAAGTTGAAATCACTTCTTGGCTCCTTTTGATCTACCAAAACCGCATGTATTATCGTCTTTCTCTACTTTTTATGACCTTCAATGACCTTATGTACTAGGTCGTTGGACTTGTTTTAACCTTTTGCTTTCTGCTTGAAAGTTGATGCTTTCTTAGCATTCTGTTGTCACGAATGCTAAGCTTAGATTGACTTCGAAAATGAGATCCTTAATTTGAGATTTAAGAATCAGTTCACCTTTACCTCAACGACAATCATTTTATCGACACTTCGAGCTCCAAAGAAATTAAACCTAAAGAAAACCTAGTGGTGACTGAGAGTCTCGAGTGCAAAGGGTTAATATCCTTTATCGTGATACGAAAGCAAAAACATTAGGTTATTAAAAAATGTCAACGATATGGTTAACCTTTCAACCTATTTACTAAAGCTTTTTTACTCTATCCTACATACCATATAAATAGTGAATGGTGTTTTCTTTAACAAACTATATAAGCAATGCAATTGTAGCAGAAGGGTAGTAATATTGCTCTCTATACCAAAACTATTGAATCTGTTATACGAAATGCAAACTTTTAATAAAAATGTCTAAATTATCTCGTTCGAGTAAATTCGCGACCCCTACAAGTGCGAGACTCGACCCGATTGGCCGACTCGCGTTGCGATAAGGTCTGCTCGACGACCTTTGAGAATTTCGAACGGTCGTTGTTATCACAGAGTTCGTCGTAAGATCCACGAATCTCGTAATGCGACGTTAATTATATCCTCGGAAGGACGCAGTCATGCGATCTTATCCTACCCGGCAGAATAGTTGGGGAGCTTTAAAACGCTTTCAGGGCGCACGCCTGCGGAATTCTAGATTCCGAACACATGCCTCGTCTCTGTCCCCAATGACGTTCAGTCGGGGTTTCGCTTCCGTCTCGTCGATTTGCCTCGGAGGAAACACGAATTTCTGTTTGCTCGAGGGATGTGTCGTCACCGATCATGCAACATCGAGGGAATTTCACCGTTGAGCTGTTTCCGTTTGAATCGGTAATTATACATTAGAGCCGACGTCGCGTCCTCTATGCCGAACGGAAGGAATGTCGATCAGACAGCTTTCGAGGATTCAACAGGTATCGGAAGCAATTCGATTAGCATAACTTGACAGTTTCGGGGAACTATTTATAATAAATCGGAACGAATTGAATCATCGAGCACCGAATCATGGTCTTTGGAAACTAAATGGAGGCAACTCCCGGTTTATGAATGACTTCCGTTCCAAGACGATCGTTGGGCGTATTTCATATGTCTGAGTTTGTAAAATTTGTTTCTAATTTTCTTAGGAAACCTTGTTGTAGCGTGTTGAATAATAAACGATTTTTGTCACTTTTTCAAAGCCTTGGTACTTGCATCGTTGACTGCAAAAGTGGTCAATTCTGCATAAATTGAATTGAAAGCTGCAGACACTTTTTATGTAGTACATGGTTTGGAAAAGTGTTAAAAAGTTCTTTTGTTACTTCAGAATTAGAATTATTTATTCCAATTTAATCAATGCTTTATCTGTTAGAGGTGGTGTTTATTTTATTATTTAATTCGACCATTTTTTCGGCGTTGTTTTATTAATTATTTGCTATCGCTTAAATTATCAATAAATAGTGAATATTTATTTCACTATACACTTAAATTTATCATTTTTAACATCACGCCTGATATCAGGAAGAACAGATAGTTTTCGTTATAGTGTAATCATTTCCTGATCATTATTGTAGTAAATACACTTTTTAATTATTTACTATTTGAATCTTACTTTTGATCTTACTATGAATCTTACTATGGATTTGGAATTACACATTACAGAGAATCCTATTTATTGGCAGCTTGAAAAACATATTGTTAACTCATTGATGTATTTTTTATTTTCAAAATATTCCACTGAGAACAGTCTCGAAATTTTTTACTAAATACTTTCGACACTTCAATCTATTTCTCTTCTATTCGTTTTTCTTTTAAAAATGAATTACAACATTAAACTAGGGTTGGCTATAAATAAACTTCAAAACTCGGATGCCAGATATAACAATTGTGTTGTATGTGTCCCAAGTAGTTATTTTGGGCGGGACATATAGATCGCGATAAAAATAACAAAATTATTTGTCGATAATCGCTTCCGAACTTTGCAAGCTGATCCAGGATAAAGTAACGCTGACCTCTTCGGGCCCGTCATTCTGGCAACAAAGTCCACTGCAATGAAGCGAAACTAAAATTCGACCTAGTGCATCCAGCGCAGAGGGACTCGAAAACTTGTAAGAGCACTACATGAATGCGAATGATGAGGCGCCGTCGAATTTGGAGCCGACCAGCTCGGAAAAAGCGGACAAGAATGAAGGGGAAACCGTCCAGGCTGAAGCCACCGGACCTCAGGAGAAATCAGCCGATGACACTGTCACGAAGGATACAAAAGTAGTCGAAGGTGGGATTTAAATAATTAATTTTGCACAGTTTTGAGAAATACAGCTTGTGGAATTAAACTCGAAGACACTGGATGTAGTCGTGAGACGTCATTAATTATTAGCGTGAAACGTTCTCGACTCACTGTTTGTTATTATCTTCAAAAGTATTAATAAGATGATCTGAATTGAAACAAAAAAATATATTAATTATATAGCGAGGATTTATCGAATGAAAATATTTTTTGTTTTCATCAATTGAAACGTATGAAGTAAAATTAGCCGTAGCTTTATTGACATGCTGTAGAAATATATGATTAGGTTTGCACTGATTAGGTTTACTTATTAAATACGAACTACATATAAGTTACAGGTAATTCAATGCAGTTTCATTTTCGAGATTCAATTTCTTTACATTTATATTTGTGAATTACGGTAATAATAAGATTGCCACAGTTATCCAAACGAAAGAACATCGTATAAGCAAACCTCAATATTTTCTTATTCAATTTATATAGACAATATATTTAACGTTCTATTTTGTTTTTGTTTTGTTTTTGTAATTTTATTTTAAATATAAACTTCGTAATTGTCATTTTGAAACTGTGTTGCTGTTATGAATTTTTGCTTTTAAGGGAAGAATTATTGTATACCTTTATCTAATCAACTTACTAGTAAATTTAAATTTATTGTCATTTGAGTTTTGTTGATTTTATGACTTGGCATTGTCGAATAGTAATCCTTTATTTGTACATGTGTAAGCTACTCTACTAACATAAAAGAAAAATTACTTAATCAGTGAGAGAGCGTAATAGACGAAAACTACATCTGTGCAAAAAGTTATCTCCAAACTAATTTAAATATGGATTGATATGTATACTCTAACACGTCATTCCAGTTTTTCATTGTACAACTAATTCTCATTTTGAATTTATATTTCTTTTGATTCTGTATTATTTATTGTATACCTATATAAATAATTTTTTCCATTAATCATTTTCTTGCTACATAATTTATGCATTTTTTCCTTCTACCACAGATTAACTATTGTTATTCTTTCTATTTACCTTCTAATACATAATATTATATTAATAATTTTGGAAATCACAAAGGGTTGATCGAAACATTTAACACGAATAATAAATGACTTGTTACAGACTACATCTAAAGTCATTGAACTCACTCTATAACCTAGATAGATATGTGCATTGTGATTTTGGCTCTCTATCGAATGTAGAGAGACCCGAATCGCCTTTGGTATTGCCTCCGACGCTTCACGAACGATTCATGCGGATCAAACAAATGGTCAAGGATGCCATAGCTGCTCACCACACGTTCATGATTTACGGAAGGGCCCGAGTGATCCGTGAATGTATGCTGCGGCGAGGCTGGTGCGAGAAGTTTTTCCGAAAAAATGCTACTGGTACTCGAATTGGTGTTCAATAAATGTTCAACGATCAAATCATGCCAAATCAGACACTTACTGAAGTCTCATTTCAAAGTCTGCTCAAAGTAGGATATGACGTACTTTTTAACGATATTTATATGTGTATCTAAAGATTTTTGTAATTTTGTAATCTCTTGGTTATTAATATTACAGCTGGTTGAAAAGTAATGCTTACTTTCTTTTATTAAAATATAACTGGTATACTAATAATTAATCGAATCAGTGTGAGCTTGATACTTGTATGTATCGTGAATGCACGGGAATATTAAATGAAATTGATCTTAATTCAAAAGACATTTCCTTGCAACCAGTCTATGTAATTCTTTTAAACAAATATAGTTTTTAATAGTATAGATTCCATTTGCCATTAGGTGGAACTGCTATATAAAAAATTAACCTATAGTACACTTCTATGTACGTTTGATAACAGAGTACGAATTAAACTTTCTGTGAATTAAACATGTATGTTATTTTTCTAGTTTCACGAAAGTAAGTTTTTGGAATAAAAATATATGTACGTTCAAAAATAAATTTCAGCTAATTTTCGTACTGGCAATTTGCACGTGTCAATATACTTGAATATTTACCAGCAAGCAGAACGAATAGAACAATATTCTCATTCTTCTAAATTCTTCAATTCATCCTAGCTACTAAAAAAAAAACGTCATGTATTCAAAACAATAAAATTGCAAAACGTGGTTGAAGAAAGTCTCGTTTAAACTGAAACAGCTTTTATTCGGTACTCGTTCATATTTTCGTAATTCATGAAAGACATTAGTCGACATTATTTTCTAATCAGCTGTAAAATTAATATCTTCCTAAGCATTTAAAAATCCTTTAAGATACTCTTAATAAAATTGCAAAACATGGTTGAAAAAAGTCTCGTTTAAACTGAAACAGCTTTTATTCGGTACTCGTTCATATTTTCGTAATTCATGAAAAACATTAGTTGACATTATTTTCTAATCAGCTGTAAAACTAACATCTTCCTAAGCATTTAAAATGCTTAAGATACTCTTTAAGATACTCTTGAATACCATTAAAAGCCGCGCTACAACTAAATATCTGAAAAATTCGATATGTCACTCCAAAAAGCTGAAAGTCACTCCGATTTGGCATGAATAGTCCCCAAGCTTTGTAGGATCGATTCAGAACCGATTTTTTCCAGCCGATCATTTCAACGTGGATTCGAGTCCCGTGGCGTTACTGGCAGGCATCGGCGACTTGAAGGACCAACAAAGCGAACGACAGTTGATATCCAGGATGCTCAGCAATCACACTGTCGATTTCCTCTGGAACACCGGATCGGAATGGCCTGGCTGGCCGTCGCAGGATAACAAGAACACGATCTTCAACAGATACTGCCGTGCGGGATTCACGTCGAAGGTATCTGAAGTAGCCTCGACCGATTCCTGCCTACGCGCGAATAGTACATCGGACGATGATAATACATACTTCTAAGAAAATCGATTGCCTTAGGTGGGCTTATGCTCGAACGTCAGACAAATGCACTGGTATTACGAGGCTGGAGTGGCGAACACCCTCTTCCCGCGCTGTTACAATTTATGCCAGGGCGATCAGATGCATGCTTTCATCGAGGATTTTCGGTGAGAAAGTGAACAAAAAATTATGCTAAAAATTATCTAAATTAATTGAAAGTAAAGCACAGATATTCGATATAAATCTTACGAATTAGAATATACGTGTACGCACTTTTGTGGTTGAAACGTTGGTATTGTTCTGGTAAACAACTAACAATGAGTCTAAATTTCTTTCCATATTATTATAAATACTTACAAGAGCACAAACAAAAATTCTATATTATAGAATACACATATCTTCTGACTTACACACGTCAGACCGGTTCCTCGGAATAACGTGTTAATTGAAATCATGGTTCTTTCGATGAAGAACCGTTTATAAAAAACAACACAATGTGCATAGTTTAGTCAATTGTTTAATTAAATTTATTTATTTCAAAATAAACTGAAACCAAAATATCACTATAAAATAAATATACAAAGTTATATTACGTAATCGTAATTTTGATTTCTACAAATATGACGTTTCTTTTCACGAGTTACTTTTTCTTCATTTCATTTGAAACGTTAAAATCTACACAAGCTTAACTATAATTATTTATCAATAAACATTAAATATGAATTTTTACACATTTTCGATTATGAAAAGCACAGAGAAAGTCACTAAAGATACCTCTAGATTCTAGAGTCTAGAATAAAAGAAATAAATACAGTCGATCTCATAAGTATTCGTACTCTCAATGTCTATTAAGGAAATTTGTTTAAATTAAATGGTAGGTTTAATGTTCCCAAATAAATATTCATTATAAACGTATATATGTGAAAAGTTTGTTCGTGTAAATATTTATCATGAAACTTAATTATCATTATCATGAAAATTAAATGATGAATTTGATGTTTTCAAATAAATGTTTCATGATAAATATTTACACGAACAAACATTTCACATATTTACGTTTATAATAAAATATTTATTTGTGAACGTCAAACCTATCATTTAATTTAGAGACAGATGTCTTCGATAGAGGGTATGAGGGTATGAATATTTATGACGACATTTACGATATTTATATTGAAAACGAAACTTGTTTATCAAATAAACATTATTCGGATGAATATTCACGTCGGTCATTGTACCATCTGCAAATTTCGTTAGATTCACGTCTTGCCTGAGTCTGTTGAAGTGGCTGATAAGTAAGATATCCGCCGAGGGCGAGAACGCGGTCAGATCGCCAACGGGAACGGTGCCCATGAAGGCCCTCGAGTTCGCGATCAAACGATGCAGCGATTATATCAGCGCGCAATCCCACGAGGACATCGATCAGGAGACGGAAAGAGTTTGGGCGCATCAATGGGACCAGTTTATCAGCTGGTATTACCAGATCGTTCACGGACAAGCGCTTTTCGTTCGCAACAGTGTGCCCTTTCAAGTAAGCTGTCACTCGAATCGCTCGCGATGTGACAACTATGTACATGGGCGTCCGAGACAAGATTCATAACTTCCAAAGTACTCGATTTTCAGTCCTCAGACTCTTGATACTTTTTTGAGGAGAATACAATAGGTGTAGAAATTAATTCTGTACCTTTACGTTCATATATTTGCAACTCTATAATAAGGTGGGGAAGGTGAGGGGGGCAGGACGGTCCGCGAAAAGGAGCATATTTATGAATTTTTTAAGGACAGACGGAAAATTTTATGCCAATTAGTTTTAGGGTATTTGAGAGAATGTTTCTTACTGCATGTGTAGCAATTTTTATATTAACATAATATGTGTGTATTATTAAATTAACAACATTGCGGCGTTGTCGTTTTTTACATGAGTATTCTGCAGTGACTACTCTACCTCAAAGTTGGGTTATTAAAAATTTGAAACATAAGCAATTTTGAATAACATATTAAATTATCTAATCGTTAATGTAAAGTTTAATATGTCCAAAATAAGTATACAAAAGATCAAGATGATACTTTCAGTTCATTTTTCATTTAAAGTTGGTTGACTTATTATGTGAAAAATTAAGGCAAAGTATTATTACTATTGCATTTAAATTACGCATTTATTTTAAAAATACTAAAATATTAAAATCGTAGAATGAAATTAATGAAGCAAATATTCTGTCAGTGGCACGTGTTTGAATAAAATGCATAGATTTTTGTTTTTTAACTTTATGCTTCAATTTGAACAATAAATTGGTATATTAAGTCAACGTTATTGATAATATTGAAAACTACATTCTTGTACTAGTATTTCAAGAATTAAACATTGTTGCATCTTATACTTCGAATTCTTGAGTTTTGTCCATTAAGCGATACTCTATGCATCGCGAGGTATGGACAGCGAAACGATACTAATTTACCTGTGGCGTGAACAGAAATTCTTCCTGGCGGGGAAGCACATTCTGAAAAAGATGAGGAAGTACTGTCCACAACTCGACATGGATGGCATCATGAATGTATGGATCATGAAGCCTGGGAACAAAAGTCGAGGACGAGGGATCGTCCTCTTGAACAAATTGGAGGATGTCATGGCGAAGATGAATCCGTCGAACAAGTCAGACACCCGTTACGTCGTGCAGAAGTACATTGGTAATCGATATGATCTTTGAAACTATCAAAAGTAATTGGTAGTTAGAATTATTAAAGTGATTATTATAGTATGGTTGTATTTTCTTCATTTGGAGTTTAGATACAATTTTGAGATAGAAAAAAAAGTTACACTATTATAATAGAACATTTGTTTACAATCAATAGCCCACAGAGCCGCATATATACACATACATATACACATATACACATACATATGTACATATATAAAGCTAGGATTTTGATCTACATGTTTTCAAAACGTACGAAAGTATGATATTACTAATTTATAATTTGCAAGCTTGCTTGCCTTAAAAGTAATTAACTATATGAAATATTGTCTAGATAAGCTTTATTTACAATTAGTACCCCACAGAGCCATATATATTTATAAACATATGTATATAAAGCTAGGATTTTGATGTATTTTCAAAACGTACTAAAGTATGATATTACCAATGTATAATTTGCAAGCTTGCTTGCCTTAAAAGTAATTAACTATATGAAACATAGAAATGTTTAGATAAGCTTGAAATATATGAAATGAACCTAACTATAAGAGTCTAAACCGTTTTATATTTGCTTATATAACTAACGCATTAAAATATAAGAGTATCAATTCATAAAGCACATTAGATGAACATTATGAAAGCACTCATGCTTTATCCCATGAGAGATCATCGTCGTCTGTTAAAATAAGTAAAAGTAAAATTATATTTTCTTTCGTAGAACGACCATTGCTAATTCACAGTACGAAGTTCGACATAAGGCAGTGGTTCGTTGTCACCTGCGCCCAGCCTCTGACTCTTTGGATATACAAGTAAGTCACGAATAGTCATTGACATTTTCTAATTATTTTGCGAAATATAAATCGGTTTACGAAGATTTCTTATCGGATTTCTAGTACTGAAGTAATGCTTTCATGGGTGAAGTTAATTTACTAGAATTAACCCTTTGGCTGGGGGACGATTTTTGGTGGAAAATATAAAGAGGTTTAAAGGTGTGAATTTAAAAAGAATATCTGCTTATAGGGAATGATAAGACAGAACTTTTTTATATTCACAGTTTTTTCATAAGACGTTTACTTTCATAAATAAAAATTGAAAACATAAAAGGCCTTTTTTCTGAAAATCAATTTTTGCAACGAACTTCTAACTTCTTCATTTTTATTATCTAAACTAAACGTTATATGAAGAAACTATAAGCTGATATTTTTTAAAAATCGATTTAACGAATATAAACATTTCTCTGAGCCGATTTCTCGAGGGCGTATATATGGTATATGCCCGTCGCAGTCAAAGTGTTAATTAGAAGACGTAAGTAAGTAAACATGAATTACCTAGCTTTAATCGAATATTCACCCTTTTTCTTACTGCTGTTCAAAAATCACATATTTTATTGACCTGTCACAGTGTCTCAACGTCTCAACTTTTTAACAAGCCACTCGTACATCATTTAGCAATAGCATAAACACGCACGAGTCGAATAAGTTGTTTCCTGGTACGATTTCGTGTCTCCAAAAATGTAGGTCATTTAATTAGTGTACAGGAGTTGCATCCGTCGCAATTATCGCCAATTTCATACCTGGTAGCGGTTCGTAACTGGTTCCTTTTAATCCTATATTTAGAGCCACAACAATTCGAGCTGATCGCGAGCGAACCTACCACAGTCAATTCACCGGTTATAAACTCGACGAAATTGATCTTTTCTAACCCAGTTCACGTAAACGTATACCTTATTGCCCCGATGCGTCGGCTATTTTTGGTGCGACGACAAGTTCGCTACCCGGCGATACTTTCCGCGAGAGGTTCGCGAGCGGGAAATCGTGCTGATATGACGATGACAACGTCGTTTGTTTTCAGAGAGAGTTATCTGCGATTCTGCTCGCAAAAATTTTGCCTGACGGACTTCCACGAATCGATCCACCTGTGCAATCACGCGATCCAATGCAAGTACACGAACTGCGGCGACAGGGATCCTGCGTTGCCCTCGGACAACATGTGGGACGCCACGACCTTCAAAGAGTTCCTCAAGTACGATCCGATTATGACTAATGTCTATGTGTTTCTCGTATACTCCAATGTATTTGTGATTATGTCAAAAGTTTAGAGCTCTATCTCTGCTAGAAAAGATGTTCGATAACAAATGAATAAAAGACTTATTACTAGACTGCGGAAGTTTATGCGAATGCATATTTTTATAGGAAATAATTAAAAGAATGGGACCTAGACAGAAATTTGTTTTGAGATTAGAGTACTATATAAGTATTTTATATATGTGTACATAACGAATATTCTGTAACATACTAATATATTACTTATTATACTACATTTTAATCAAATTTTTCGTGCATATTTTGCATGTTTTTTGTGCATATTTTGGATATTTTTCATGCATATTTCGCATATGCATGTTACATATTTATCGTGCATAAACTTCCGCAGTCTACTTATTACACTAACAAGGTAGGTACTCAATCGTGAGGATCAATTTATGCATAGTGACAATGCTTAACTGAACCTGATGACACTAACTTTAGGAAGTTTTTCGAACCTGTTTTTCGTAAAACAGTTAAGAACACAAAATTTTAATTGTAATATAACATAACACGATGATACATAACAAAATAGCATAATACAACATAATACAACAATAATACACCTTAATACGACATAATAAGTCATTACAAAACATAACACAACTTCTTCTCCAAAATTCAAGTCCAATCCTCGTAATGGATCTTCGGATAGAACTGCACATCGTTTTGTCTTTATTAAGTGCATTTATTAAAACCGATCTCTAGGAAGAATTTTGATAACTTCCTGTGGATCTTTGAATCCTGGTTCAAATTTTCAAAGTGTAATCATGTGTTCTTGCAGAAAAATAATACGCAGGAGATAATTAATTTTATTTCGGTCAAATCAATAAAATCTTTACTTTAAATTTATCTTTCAATTTGTGTTCCATTATTGCTGTTCATTAATTTCAGTTGTGAATTCTATTTTCTATGATGAGATCTGAAAGCTTCCCATCTGATGGAGAAAATGTATCTCTGTTGAAGTGACCTACGTAGAAATATAAAGCAATCTATTCGTATTTTTATCTATCCTCGATAAACCTGTCTAAAAAAAATCCGATTTATATTTGAACGATCCTCGAATTTAAACAAGAAGCATAATATTCTACAGATAAATTTCATCGCGAAATCACCAGGTCATAATTTGCAATTGAGGAAACTCTGATAGGTCCCAGGGGCACGATAAGGCGTGGGACGAGCTCATCTACCCAGGAATGAAGCAAGGCTTGGTTGGTTCTCTATTGGCCAGCCAGGAAGCCATGGATCGTCGAAAGAACAGTTTCGAACTTTACGGCGCTGACTTCATGGTTATGGACGATTTCTCCGTTTGGCTGATCGAGATCAATAGCCACCCTGACATGAGCTACTCCAGCAGAGTTACGACGCGTCTGTGTCGACAGGTTCTAGAGGACACCATAAAAGGTCCGCCAAGTGTCCAACTTTATTGAATCTTAATCCAACTTATCGCCGCAGTTTTCAAACTAGCTATTTTTCTACGTAAAAGTCGAATAATCAAACAAGTATGGTTTAAACGTTTGAACCACTGTGCTTTCGGTACGGTAAAATTGCCACATTCTTATCTTCTCCGAGAAATTTTAAGTTCTACTATCGCCTTCCACTGTATTAGTGAATATTTGGGCAACGTTGAATTAAATAATAATTCTTGAAAAGTAAGATGCTGTTTCGAACCACCCAGCAAATTGGGGTGAATAGAAATTGCTTTAAAACACTGCTTTAAAAGAATATTAAATGATTAATAGACTTTGTACTTATAGTAACAGGAAATATAGGAATATGTACGATGATGTGCACAAATTCCTAAGTATATAAAATACCAAGAATAGAATACACATTACATTGTTTAAAAAATAAGAAACATTTTGATTTTGTTTAAGCTCTATATGTACATCTGTAGAAATACGAGTATTTGAATAAATATCCACAATTTAATGATCAATTTAGTTGAAGACTAGAAACGTTCTGATGTTGGGGATGAATAAAAACATTAGTAAATTTGTATCAAAAGGTATAGTAATAAAGTGTAAGGGACAAATATTACCATGTAACTGCAAGTGATACAAATTAAGCAGCAAAACATACAGTTTTGAAGTTTCGTTTCTGTTTACCCCGTTTTACGGTACTCATTGTATTAAGCATATAATTGCAACACTATGAAAGCATGCGAAAATAGGAAAATTCAATTTAAGAGTAAGAGACAAGTTATTTAAAGAAATTATATGCTCGATCCTGAAGAGGACCAGAAAGAACAGGAACACGAAGATAGAAACGCCTAAATATAATTCATTCAAACTTTAAACTATACATGTCTTATTACTAGTCCTCTGAGTCAAATTATTACAGAAATAACCAACATTTATTTCTAATTCTTTATTATTTACCTATTTCTATCTTATCTATTTTTTTATTTCATTATAATACATTCGAACTTTAAACCATACATGTCTCATTACTAGTCCTCTGTGTCGAATTATTATGAAAATAAACAGAATTTACTTCTAATTCTTTATTATTTATCTATTTCGATTTTACAGTGGTGATAGATTTTCGAGAGAACAAAAACGCAAACACGGGACAGTTCGAGTTGGCTTACAAGCAGAAAATGCCCAACTGCCAGCCATATTTGGGTGCAGCTTTGTCCCTCCAAGGCACCCGCATTACGACGTTAGAGAAGAAACCTGGTCTCGGGACTCAAGACTCGAAAGTTAGCCTCGTATCGAAGTCTCCTATGGTAAATTGTTGTATCCTGAACTAATAATAATAGCGTCGCGAAGCATCAACTTGGCACTCTCCAAATTAATTATGGACACCTGATTGTTTGGTTGTATCTCGAAATTGTAATTGTGATCTTACTTACTCCCAAAATAATGAAGTTTTATTGGGTTGGTGTTTAAGGTAGTTGTTCTATGAATTTATTTAGTGTGAGATTTTAACAAAACTTCACTTGATTGTTATTTGAAATATGAATCATATAACCACTCAAGTTTTACGAAATACGATATCAAAATTTTGCAATTTTAACACAGACTCTTATGGAACATACAGATTATCACGCGAATTTTTTCAATTTATATTAAAATGCAACGAAGAAACTTGCTGAGAATTTGATATGTTTCAAAAATCTTAATTAAACTTAAATCTTGATTAAACTTTAAATGCGTTTTTCTCGAAACTATATTTTTTAAACTAACCAGAAATATAACTTGAACATATCTTCATCAATCGATTTGAAAATTTAATTGTATGTTTAAAATTACATTCTCCGAAGATGTACGCAGAATTTTCCTGAAATTGTTGACTTTTTCTACATAACGACGTCATTTTGGCAAAAATCAGTATAACGAAAACATTCTACGTACGTCTCTAGTTATTAATGTACATAATTGACAAATTTTTAGTTCTTTCCGGCCGTGGACCTTTCCAAAATAAAGGCATCTCTGGAGAATTCGTGCGCAGCCATCATTTTGTTATGAATGATCACGAAAAAATTATTTTTCTATAATTCATGTTGTTTATAGAATTTCAATTGTATTTTTACCTGCTATACAGGAGCCTACCCCGTTGAGCTCGATTTATTAAATATCAAAGGATTTCCTACGGATGTAGAAATATGATATATTTGTGCACACAGACATGCTTTCCGAAAAAGAAAGCGGCAGTGCACAATCAAATCGGTCCAGTGATCGTCGATCTGATCGAGGAACTGGAGATCCAGCTCGACCAGGAATTCTACGCCTACTACAAAGTAGAATCGCCTAAGCTGAGGCAAACACTGCCAATAACTGCGCCCCCCAAACCCTTAAAAGCGGTCGTTTTAGTCGATAAACAGGAATCGACCGCGAAGAGCGCTCCCGCTGGAGGATTGAACACTGTTAAAACGAAGTCACCTGGTTTGATTCAAGTAAACATTAACCAAAAGATTAATGGAATTGTTTCGTTAACGAGATTAGTGATTTTTCATTTGTACGTCGCAGAATAATCGAATAAACGACAAGAACGGAAGCAATCAGAAAACGGCAACGCGAACGCCAAGAAAGTCGCGGACTCTCACTGGATCGACAAGCCACAAATCGGAAACTTCTCCTGCGAGGCAAAATTTTATCTCGAAGATTATAACTATTCAGAAGCAAACGTTTAAACAGCCATCAAAAAGTGAAAAGTCTCAACCGAAGCAAAACCAAAATAGGGTGCGGTCAATTGTCTTGATAGATTTGTATTCCACTTAATCTTACCACGGATTTTTATTTGTATTGTTAAATTTCACTTAAAATTATTAGTTATTTTTTTTTCTTTTTGTTAATGCTCTTATGAACGGCGATTAAAAGAATGTTACGAATTATTTCGTAATTTCGAGCAACAAAACCTTGGTATCATTGTCAATTATACAAAGGAGATTTTAACCAGTAGACAGTGTGTTGTCAACCTCTTAGGGGTGAACAAAAACAATTTCGTTTAGAAAATAATAATACGTTGAATTAATCGAAGAGAATGGAGAAACATCTAATGTGTTGATAATACATAAAATTCATTTGCCTATAAAGATTGATCTTGGTCTACCAAATTAAATTGACAAAATTTTGTAACTCATACTCATCATTAGACTGCGGATCTTTATGCATTTATAGAAAATTCGAATGTGCAAGAGACTACAAAATGCACACAGTATGCAAGAATATAATAAATATTGAGAGTAAAGTTCGTATTATAATATTTGCAGAGTAAAATAAATTCTTATTTAGATTCAATTTTTGTAGACACGTTTGCCAAGATTTTATTTTGCATAAAGATCCGCAATCTACTCATTGTTAGATGGTAGATATGCATCTCAGGACGTGAACCATTTAATTTCCCTTCCTAGTCTACCACCTTTGTTCATAACCTTCATTTGTTACCAAAATATTAAATTTTAATTACCTTCATGTAAATATAATAGACATCGTATACTTCGGTTAATGCAACACATTATTTTCCACTCAAAATAATTTGTCTCCCTCTGAAGAGAAAAATGGTCGTTTGTATAATACCCGACGATTGCACTAAAGTTTTCCTGCTCAAGATTTCTAAATAATTCATATAATAAACATATTTTCATTCCACGTAGTTAGCACTATACTATACTCTTATTGAAATTTGCCAGATGATTAAGACTGCGGTACGAGACGCTATTAAAAAGTACAAAAAAGGCGCAGCTCTGTCCGCCATTCCACCGGAAATACCTCCGCTACCGTCTTTATCAACGGCACCGAATAAAGGTAGCGAAGGTGCCGCAGGGAAAAATAAAATTCACATCGTTCCGGCCAAGAATCCTCGTCAAAAAAAGAACAAAGTGTTAACCGACATTACTGACATGTACGCTGTTGGCTTGAGGTTGACTAAATGAGAAAGGAAAAGAAAATCCTCGTGATCCGCACTCGTTATTCGTTGGCTCTGTCTACTGTTGATTCATCGAAGTCTATATTTGAAACGTACCTGTACATGGCCAATAAAGAACTACGCTATCCATCGGTAACTCGGTGAAGTATTTCATTTCCTCGATAGTTTATGAACAATTTAAAAGGGTAATTATTACTAACTACTGGCAGAATTCTATCTTAACACTTCACCAATCGGCAACCCTATTATCGAGATAACATTTAACCTTTTGCGCTCGAGGCATTTTTCTATAGAATCAAATCGAGTCCATTTTTATAATAAATTTCTGTAAAACCAAAAACTCTGCTTCGAAAAGATACATCTAAAAACATTCACGACTCAATCTATATTATTTCAATTAATAATTAGCTGTATTTTGGTATAAGTAAAATTGAAATTGTATGGTAAAAAATCACTTTTATATTACATATGTCGCCCTAGAGGCGCACTCGAGCGCGAAGGGTTAAAGCTCCCATTATTATATGAATTATGAAATACTATATAAACATTAATCAAAAAACTGTTTTAACACAAAAGATACAGATTTAATAATGCTAATGTTGTCAAAAGAAAAAGATATTATTTAATTTAATTTTATGTCCAATCGCTAGCGGATGGTAAAGTGTTAACAATCGTGTCGAAATAATGTTAATAATACATTCAATTTTTTCTTCTTGATGCTTGAGACAATTACAAATTGTAATGGTAGTATAATGGATCTGTTTTATTTATCAGACATGTCATCATCAATCGACCATTGTTTCGTCTCTGGTTGCTCATTACTTGCCAATATTATAGTACATCTTTAATACATTTTAGATAATTTAGGAAATTCATGAGATCTAATACTTACATCAGGATATAGTATATCGATTTCAAGAAAGCAGTTCTGTTAACGATTTAAATATTTTGGAGAAATTGATTTTTATTAATTTAGTGGTAATATTCCCTCGTGACGTTCTGGCTATCTTAGAAGCAAATCACTAACTGTTAAGGATTAGAACATATGTTCTAACGCTAGTAATTTATTCTAATAACATGCCACGTGTGGGATTTGATTCTCACGACTGGACATAGAGTAAAACCATAACTAATTCGACATTACTATTTCCAAATAATTCACTATTTCGATTAATGCTCGTATCAATGACGATTGAAAGTATGTTACAAATTATTATTTCACACCTGTAAAAAAATTAACGCACTACATACTGTACCCTTTTAAACCATGGAACTATTGCATACAACTTTTTTTCGTGCAACGCATATTTTGGAAGTTATAAAGGTGCACACATTGCGTGGACCACCCTGTATATTATCTCCGCTTATTTAATAACAATGATGAAACGAGCACCGTATATAAACTATCGAAACAAAGTCCAGTCGATTCCTACCTAAGATCATGTTTCGGCACGTTTAAATTTACCATCATCGATGGCAATCTGCACGGAAAAAGCAAAATCATACCAGTGACTATCGGGCAAATGGAGACCCTCCATTCTCCAGAAACTCTTCTTCGGATTTGATGTTAGATTACGAAAAAATACAAAATTACACGTTATTTCTGTCCATACTTATCACGTGGAATGGCTTGCGTCGACTCTTATCCGAACTCTGGAGAGCCTGCATACGCCGCGAATTCTCTGATCGGTGACACGGACACTGTCAACATTCCCACCAAAAAGGATAGCTTTCAGTGCACGTTCTTTCGACAACCCAAGAGTATATTCGCGGTACGTAAGTAAATACGTATAGGTTATCCGCGAGAGAAGCAGACAAGATTTTATTCATATAATAAATGTCTAATAAGAAGATTAATTTATGTGGGATTTATACCAACGTTATTTGGAACGATCGATCTATTTGGATAAGTTTTTATTTGCATAACGTAGATTTTAATTTCATATTGTAAGGGTTAAGTGATAATTACTGTAAATTAAGATGGTATTATATGGTGCTATTATTATTATTATTATTTGATTTTAAATAAAACGTTGTTTGTACAACATTAACAGAACAGTATTAAAATGTATAATACTGCCCATTGGTGGTCGCACAATATTTAAAATCTGATTCTAGTTTTTATTGAACAAATTAGCCTTTGTTTAGAGTTTCGCACGCATAAATGTTATATTTTGTGTTTGCTTATTATTTTATGTACTCTACATTAGAGAGTCGTAAGTTTTATTACAAAACGGTATACTGTTAGTTTGAAACAATCGACCAACATGAACCCTGTAAAAAGAATTCCTAGTCTTTTTGCGATACCCTCAAAATTAATTATCAAATTTAGGCTTCTTTTACAGCCTGTAGAGTGGTGTTACCCATTAATAGAAGAAACCTATCCTCAATATATGAATACCGTCTATATGTTGCAAATTTTTTTTGTATTGAACGAATATACAAATTAACAGACAAAGTTACCATTCTCTATTTATCTAGATAACGCACCAAAATTTATTTTACTTTAATTTATTTTCCATTCGTTGTTCGTAATTTGTTTATCCAACTACGATTTTGACCCAGACTCTTCTTTTTAAAGAGGTATTCTACTCTGAAACGTAATTTTTTATCTCAGTTTTGAAATTTATTTGAAAGAAAACTGGGATAACTTTTGCAGCAAGAATTGGAAGACACTTTAACCCTTTGCACTCGAGAGGTGACTCTCTCAGTCACCACTAGGTTTTCTTTAGGTTTAATTTCTTTGGAGCTCGAAGTGTCAATAAAATGATTGTCATTGAAGCAAAGGTGAACTGATTCTCAAATCTCAAATTAAGGATCTCATTTTCGAAGTTAATCTAAGCTAATCTAAGCTTAGCATTCGTGACAATAGAATACTAAGAAATCATCTTGAGTTGCTGATAGATACCAGAAAAAAGGCCTCGAGTGTAAAGGGTTAATAATATTTCTCGGAAGTTTATAATAGAATACCTCATTAAATTAGATTCTTTTGAATTGATTATCATTACAGATAAAAAATGCCGCCTGGCAGCTTTCCTGCAGCAATCCAATGTCGTCCAGCTTTTCCGACATTGGTACCGATTCGGACAGTGAGCTCGATGAAACTGTGGCCTCTGCGCGATGGTTAGAAAAATCGAGACATTTCAGCGAAGACGTTGTCAGCGATGATACTCCAAAGCTTGAAACGGAGTATCACAAGTATCTAAACACGCCAAGGATAACATTCGATCCAATGGTACGCGTCGATTCGGACATAGTGATTAGATCCTATCCGAGGAAACGATCAATGAAAGAGGAAAACGAAGCAGTGTCCGTGAAACTTCCGCGAGTATCGAAAAAGTGGAACGAACCGTGGGAGAAAGACAATTCGGCCAGCAAGGAGAACCACGAGGAATTCGATGAAAATCGAGTTCCCAATCACTGCGACAATCAAACGACCTTCCAAAATGAAACGTTCCTGGAAAATTATACGAATAATGACAAGCTTATGCGTGCTCTTTCAGGTAAAACTTTGCGAACCAACGACTCAGGAAATACAGATCTTTTTTACTTCTATTTTGATATTTGGATATGCAATGAATTACATTTTTAGCACGTGCAGGGATTACCGGGGATACGAAGGACAACAGAAATTACAAAAGACTTTTCTATGATTTTTATTTAAAAAATGTAGTTTATCGAATTACTAGATAAAAAGAATATGGAAATATTCGATCACCAATAAAACGATATTGCACGGTAAAATAACGTAACAAAAAGGTGTAATGTTGAAGATTATTTAAAGATGGGAATAAAATCAATGGCAAAGAGATTTTAAAAAATGATAAAACAAAGAGGTTACTTAAATATTGACATTACCAAAATTATTAACTTTTATTACGTGTGAGAATAATTTCGTAATCTAAGTAATCCATAAAATTAATTCGTTTCGTTTCTTCATTGTTATAAATAATATAGTTATTTTTTTTTAAACAGTTTTGTAAGTTTATAAACCAAATATTATATTTCTTGAATAAAAAGTATAGAAAAATCTTTTACTATTATTTTTATCTTTCATACACCTGTTACTCTCTGTGTGTACTATCAATTTTATGACTTACTATAGATGGTCCTCTTCAGAGGATAACAATTAATACTGCGTCTGTAAATATTTGTTAAATGTAATACTAGTATTACAAGTCATAAGGCCAAAAGTAATGATATAAAGTTGCGCATAAAAGGAGGTATAAATTGTTTAGAATACAGAGTCGATGCTAGGATTTAATGTAAAAAAAGAAAACACTATAGACTGTTACAAAATTAGTTATTAATATAAATTTATATCCCAAATAATATTTATTTCAAAGGTATAACAGACAGCAGTTGTTTAAGATATTTACCGTACCTAATATTAAAAATTAAAAAAACGTAAAAGGTTTGTATTATTTATAATTTTTTTGAAATTCAAAACAAGACGAGTCAATCCGCATTAAAATAGAAAATACAATTTTTAGTTTTACAATATTTTCAAAGAAAACTGAGTTTCGTACGTGGCTATTTGCTTATAAAATGAAAAACGTATAATTATCCCGTCGAATTAATTTTATTTTTAAAAATAATTGTATGGTAGCTGCACGGAACGTCCTGCACGGGAATAAGAGATCCTACAAACTTGCGAACGTTGCGGCGAACAAGGAAGTCACGTCCAAAAGAAGGAAAACGATCGAGAGTAGAATCATTAGGAACAAACGATTGTTAACATCCATGAAGGAAGTAATTCGTACGATGGAGGAGCCACTGCCGGACTTGGAATCCATCCAACCTATCGATTCGGGGGACAAAACTGCAAAGAGCAACGTTGCACGTGTAGAGGACGGTGAAGATTTAGGTCGAAGTACGAAAATTTCGAACGATTGGGAAGAGCGTGAGATGCGGGGACCGACCATTAAGAGTCCTAAATTGGAGAAACATCTGGATAAATCCATGCAGAAGGCGGTGAACAAATACAGAACATACAGGAACACGTGGAAGAAACTGAAACAACAACAATTCACGTCGCAAGATTTGCCTGAGAAAAAAAATCCCGTTTCCTGGCTTCCGCTCCAAAACTGTTTTACATTGTCAACGTATCTTACGTAAAGAAAAACAAGCTACACTAATGTGTAAACAGTTTAACTGTCACTGTTAACATAGAGACGTCTCTACGACTGTTAATCGTGAACATATGCAACGATATCGAAATCCATTTATCGACTGTCTAAATACGTATTTTAATGACGTATCGTTTTTCGATAAAAATTTTGCCAAATTCAGAAGTGAGAAGAAGACACCGAAACGAATTAAAATTAAAAATTTAAAAACTAAAAAATGTTAAAATATACAAGTCTGTCGGCGGTTATGAAAATGCACGATGCCGCGCCAGGAAGACTGTGCGATTCTGTCGGAAAATAAGGACCGTGAAGACTCGATTACGGATCGTAATCATGGATGTCTATGCGTCCAGGGTAATTTTGAAGAATTGAAAAACGAGGAATGCGATGAGGATGGACAAAATGATTTCAACATTATTAACACGCGAAAATGGCAAGTCACGTTGACCACGAAGGACTGCGCTATTAAAAAACATTGTCAAGGTTGGCAGGTACGACCAAGGTATTTCTTAATGTCTGTACATAGGCGAGGCAATATCAATTTATCAAAAATTATATGAAAACATACGAGGTGAACTCAGTAATTTTTTCATCCCTATTATTTCTGTTGTTAGTGGTACAGTAAAATAGCACGAATATAAAACAATACTTTAAATATGTATACGTTGAATGTATAATTAAGCTTTGTTGGGAGACTAGAAACATTTTATTAGATAGTGAGGATGAGTATAAGTGTTAGTAAATTTTCATTGAAAGATATATTCATGAAACACACCGACTAATGTAACTATATTCAAATTGGAAAGATACAAAATGAATTATAGATATCCTTATAACTGCAAGTAATACTAATTAAGAAACATGACGTATCATTTTAAAGTTTGATTTCTATTCACACCATTTGACGGTACTGCGGTATTATATATTTTATTCGACAATATATTTTTAATAAGTTTACAGGGTCTTTTAATAAAAAAATACGATTTTAAAGTAACAAGTCGAAACAATAATAATGGTAATATATAAAAATTTTATATTTGAATATTATTTTATACTATTTCTTACTTTATTAGATCAATTGCATGTTAATTTACATAAATAGTAATGCGTATTAATAACAATCTTCGCTTATATTAATGTTTCTTTTTACATTGAAAGGATGTAGGTATCGTAAATAGTTGTTTACGGATATTAACAGCTATTTTTTAAATAACCGTTTGCCGTTATTTATTTATAATATCATTTATGCTTTTCACAAAGAACATTTTGCATTACTGTCATCTACAAATTGTATTTCTGATAAAATTATAAAACTTTTGCTGAAAAGAATGGATACACATGTAACATATTGTATAAAAGATATTTGACTAGAAACATGAGTTTATTTTATGTTTGTAGGAGTATCCAATTGCCGAATATTTAGTAGTACTATGAATCATGAATTTATGTGATAAGAAACTTTGATTAATGGTAATAGAAAGTTTTCCAATCATTCCAATCACTAAATTTGAATTCCATTTAGAAGTATTTTCTTCAATATTTCAATAAAGTTACTGTTTTTTTTAGAGTGTAACTAAATGTTTTTCATACATAAGGTATTGTAGATGATTTGGAGAAATTACGCAGTTTCCTATGTATCTGCAAATAATTACTTGAACTATGTATATTAGTAATAAGTATCGCTATCAACTTGAATTTTTCACCTTTGCTTTAGCCTTCTCCAAATATACTGTCTTATTTTGTCTTTTGTCTTTGTCTTTGTATTCACTAATCCATATATTGTACATATACATACATTCTCTTCTATTTTATATTGTACCATAGTAAGCTATGGTAAACACGTTTCCCTGATAAACTGACTAAATAACTTATTTCACAACGATTCGTCTAAGATTTATCCGAACGATCCGAAAGTCGCCGATGAAGAGTCGCTGTTAATTTTGAGACTCGCCGATTCGAATATGAACTCCCAAGCGATTATGGACTCCGAGACTGTGAAAACCGCGAATGCCGAGATTCTCTGCAATCGCGACGATCTAAACGATCTTCTGAAGGACGAGGAAAAGGAAAACGAATTCGGTCACGGCAAGATCCTCCTGAGGGAATATTTGAAACTTCTGACCAGCGAACAAGCGAAGATCACTTTTATCTTGAAAATGCTGACCAAGGCGGTGAACGAGCATAAAATTTTTGTGATCTACGGCACGTTCCCGGTACTAAGGAAGCCTCTGGGTAGAAGAGGGTGGATCGAAAAGAGATCCATCAGGAGGATGCTTTCGATGTCCCCGGAAATGTCCGAAGGTGGTTAACAAAATTATGTAACTTCTAATAATCTCTAAACAAAGTTTTGACCTTGTAGAAATTTTAATAAGTATTAATCTGGCAATCAACGCGCTAAGAAACAAAAGTATCTTTGTTTTCAGCTGGTCTGGAAACGATCGAGAAACTACTACGTTGCCCCGCGGACTTCGTATGGTATACCACTAAAAGAGCAGCCGTAAAAACAGATGAAAAGACAATAGTTAATAAATTTTCTGGGTGCTACTTTACGTCGAAGGTCAATATTGTCAGTCGATTTTTGATTATAGTGTTGCGACTCAAAATTAATATCTAGACAATTTCAGGTTGACATGTGCAATAATTTGGAGAATGTTTCCTGGTTTTACGAAGCTGGCGTGTCAAACATACAATTTCCTCGGTGTTACAATGTTTATCAGGTTCATGAGCAAACTTTTACACGTTACGACATTAATGAAAAATGAAATGAGTATTATTGGATTGTCTGGAAAGTCTACGCCGATTTTTAGTAAGTGGTACAGGTCTGAATATAATTGAATGATTAAAAACAAATAACATGTATGCATCTCTTAAAAGGTGAAAATGTTGTGATACAAGGTACCGACCTATGTAATTCAATAAATATACAATGATATAATGTATATCAAAATTTAAATGTGCCTCTTAGTTTTTCTCAAAATTGGCACGAACTTTCTGGACCACCCAATACATAAATCATTCGAAAATGAACACCATTTATATTTAAACCCATTAAACATTTTTGATGTAACACATTGTCGGTTCCCTTCGGTAACTTTATTCTACAAATTGATAACATTTGCATAGATAATACGTAGGAGTAATATCAAATTATTAGTTATGAAAACTGTGTATTTATAAAAATTGCAAAGGTGATTGGAAACTTCGTAAAATTAAATGTGGAAATAACAAATCACTGTAGGAACGCCTTTTTATATTATTTGCAAACTTTTCTAGTCCATACGCTTGTGTGTACTATTTACACGTGATTGTTACTATTTACAACATACATTTACTAACTACGCATTGTCTACGTATATAAATGTTACCTTTATCAGTTTATAAAATAAACTTCAAAAGACGTCCACACGATCGAAAACATTGTATCTATAAGTAATATGATTTTTCCTCGAATTTTCCATACTTCGAATTTGTTTAACGATACCAAGCCAAAAAGTATATTTCCAGAATTTTTATTCGTCTATTTGTTCGCAAGAATGTTTATTGAAAACCATCCAATCATGCTTCGATAAAATTTGGTACACCTACTAAGCTTTTTCCAACTGTAGAAATAAGCTACTTTATGTGTCATATACTCTATAAAAATTGCTATTGCCTCGAAATTACTCAAAAGAAAAAAGAAATGGCGTACACCTTTAGTAAATGTCAACAAGCACGCGTGGCGGTATTGAAAATTCTCTTTGTGTTCGTGCAGCCAGCACAGGTCGAGGAATTCGTACAGGATTTTTACATAACAGCCTGCATGGGAATCCTCAAATGGTTCTTGTATTTGGCGAGTGTAGCCGGACCGAACGCCACGTGGTCTCCGAATGGCACTGTGCCCATATGCGCTATTTTATTTGCTCTCGAACGATGCACGGATTATATAAGGTTCTAGCAAAATTAAACGATAAATTAGGAAATTCGACTTTCCTCGATAGAATTAAAGACTAAAGAAAACGTTGCAGTGTCTGCTCGCACGAAGACATCGACAGGCGAGATCGCGTAGCCGTGTCGACTTCCGAATGGAATCATTTTCTAACATGGTACGAACAATTCTTGCACAAACGCGAGGTATTGCAGAAAACCGATGGAATAGACATCCAGGTACGAGATGAACGTGGCTAATTATCGAAACGACTATTATAACGGATACTTTATGGTAGGAACTCGTTCCGTATACGGCGAATATGCTTACGGATATGATACAGTGCCGACCTCAGAGTCGCATCGACGGGATGAGGAATGTCTGGATCCTGAAGCCAGGCGATAAAAGTTTGGGAAGAGGTATTGTCCTCAAGAACTCGTTAAACGATATCATCGGCAAGATAAATCAGAGCACGAAGGAATGCATGCAATATGTCGTGCAGAAATACATAGGTGACCTTTTCGATCCACACAATGTTAATCCCGTAGGAAATAATTTTGTATCGAGCTGTTTATTATTTTCAGAACGACCATTGCTCGTACATAAAACGAAAGTCGACGTTCGACAATGGTTTTTGATCACCAGTACGCAACCTCTTGTTGTCTGGATGTACAAGTATCGATATTTTGTCTTCCCTCTTCTTCGACACCTCTCTTAAACTGGCAGGATCAAATCAGCAGAAGCATATCGTGCTTAATTTTATTAATTTTTAACATTTTCAGTTGCTAGCTTAACGGTAAGCTAGCAGCGTCACTATTTTTTCGAAAACGGTACGAGGTACAAAATTTCTTTTGGTGGTACAAATTAGTACAAATTCAATACTAACTGTACCTGCTTTGATTTTTTCATTTGTATTAATTATTAACATTTTCAGCTTCTAGCGTAATATTAAGCTAGCAGCACCACGATTTTTTCGAAAATTGTAATAGGTACGAAATTTCTTTTGGTGGTACAAATTAGTACAAAATAAGTACTAAATATTCCACTAAGTCCGATATGATTCTGCTGATATGGTCCTGCCAGCTTAAGAGAGGTTTCTTCGAACCTAAGAGGATTTCCGGGATCAGAACTGATCCCATGCATTTATAAATTATTTACGTCTTATTTTAATTAGATATTTTTCCTTAATTTTATCAATAATCTAATGCAGTACTCCTTCCAAATTTCAAATGAATTTTAGTTGGTCATAAATAAATTTGTCGAAAGGTTTCATTTGTTTTTTTACGTAACATTGATCGAACAAAATAATTCATAACTAAAGTAAACATATTTTTTCTCTTCCATTTACCATAAAAAGCAAGGTACCCAAATATAAATAAATACAAAATGCTAATTAACACTAAAAAGAATACCATACATCAATTTCACTATTATTTTCATTTTACAATAATTACAAATGCATGTGACTGAATCTTGATGAGATTCAGGGAAGTTTCAAATGACCCCGGAAGTCACTCTACGATTTAGTTGAATATTCACCATATCTTCGTTTTAATCGACTGCGAAGAGACATTCTGCTGCGTTTCGCGTCGAAAGATTTCACACTGGAGAACTTCCACGAATCTATTCATTTGTGCAACACAACCGTGCAGCTGAAGTACAGGAAAACATTACGACCGAACTTACAAATACCCAGCGAACTTCACTGGAATCTTCAGAAGTTCAAAGAATATTTGAAGTATGCATGTAATCCCGCAATCGAGATAAAAGTAGAACGTTGTTATTTTATCGCGGACTTCTACAGAGCAACCGATCGAGATTCAGCTTGGGATAAACTCATCAAGCCGGGTATAAAGCAAAATTTAATAGGGGCACTTCTAGCGTCTCAAGAAAACATGGTGAATCGAAAAAATAGCTTCCAATTATACGGCGCTGATTTCTTGATAATGGACGACCTCTCGGTCTGGCTAATCGAGATCAATACGAATCCTCGATTGAATCCTCCTAGCAGCACCGTTACAGGCAAGCTTTACCCTGAGGTTATAGAGGATACGATGAAAGGTAACGAATCAATTTTTGTAACTTATAAATTATGCCGAGTTCGATTTCACCAAACGATTTATTTAAATTGTATCTTGCTATTGTCATCTAGTAGATATTTTTGGGGATTTCGCTAATAACAACTAAGTACTATTTTGATTATTTATGAGGCATGGAAATTAATTCTGTGGACTTTGCATTCAATCACTTATAACCGTAGTTTAAGTAAAAATATTTATTCGTCACTTTCCACGTATCTACGTATCCACGAAGTAGAAGTCATATAATTTTGTCTATTGTCATTCTTCTAACAAATTATTAGGTATAAAATCAATTGTGTGCCGTTACATTCGATTATTTATGACTGTAGTTTAAATGTGAAACGTTTAGTCGCCATTTTATTACATTAAAGTACAAACTTATAGTAACGAAATGGACATGGATTGCTACGACATTTTGTTTTTACTATATGTGCTCTTTTGAAAGGCGTAAGTAAACAAAGTCGATGTGTACTTATTCTTTATAAATAAATGATGAATGTATTTTAAAAAGGGACATAATTAATTTCTACGCTTCATAATCAACGTTTCGATCACAACTTCTTTTCACAAGATACACCTAGTATATAATAAGTAGATGAATACTGTTAACGTGAATTAAAATACAAAGTTGACGTATTATTTAAGTAAAGTTGATTGTGATCTTTATTTTAAACTTGGTAATGTTTTGGTAATTTACTTCAATATTATCACTTCTTCTATTTGAAATAGTATTATCTATGTACTCATCATTTAAAGTATACTTATCGTAGAGTAAGTATCGAAATGGTACTTCGTTGTTGCTCACGATATTCATAAACATGTTACATCACATTCATTTTAATCAACTTATCGGTACTGAATGTTTCCGGGCATTAAAAGTGATTATAGATCGACGCAAAAACAAGAAGGCCCCTCATGGTAAATTCGAATGCATTTTCAAGCAACGTCCCCCATTTTACGGCAATATTTTAGGACAGGCGGCGAGTCTCGGAATTCGAGGGAAATCTTTGCTTTCGTCGCAGAATTCATTACGAAAACCGTAAATGATAAGAAGAAATTCGTTCATGTGTAAAAAGGAGAAATATGGAGGAATAAAACAGTCGAAGGTTTAATAAAAACGTGTTTATTTTACAAGTAACAATGTTGCGTGGGTATACAATCCTATATGAACAGATGGTTTGTTTTTATGGTATTAATACACATCTATGCACGATTGCGTACAAGACACTTGGTCATGGTTGCATTAATACGTCTCTACACGTACAAAATGATCCATTCAACATGTCGTTTGTCTTTTTTTTTGTCGGCGTTACTTCTTATTTTAATTTTGATTAAAAAAGAACATTCTCATTCAGTTTTCTTTTGGCAGAACGAATTCCGCATTGAAACCTAGCGATGTACGCGATCCGGAACAAGTATAGCACAACGTACTAAAAAGACACTAGTTCTCCTTTTATTATTGCTTGCACGAAACAGGTTCGTACGGTTACGTGTTGCAGATGCACATGATCGTCAATTCACGTAGAAAATTCATGTATGCTTTCGTGGCTTTAATTACAAAATCTATTCGATCGCGTTAACGATACGACCGTATCAGAATTATCGACCGCCGTAAAATTTGAACCGTGAATTTAATACGACAGTCATGTTTCGTTAATATGGCTAACTGAAATGAAATTATTGTTTTCTGAATAATTACAGTGAAACGGCATCATATAAACTGCATTTGCAATTTGTAGAACACACCAACTAGGCTGGACTACACTTTCATCGAGCAGATCAAGCGAATTGGCAGAGATTATTAATAACGTAGCACGTAAAAAAAATTTACAACATGTAGTACGATAGATATAAGAGTACACGATTCTATTACATTTCCGCGTAAGAAAATGCTTGTCTGCGTCGATGTCGGTGTAGTCTCTAAAAAGTTAAGATCCCACCTGTATCGGAGCCCGAAGTCTGGCAAGCATAGAAACGATTATTCAATTCGGACGTACACACGATCATCATAATCGAATAAAACGAATCGTCATTACCGGATTTCGACCACCATCGCAAATACATTCAGGCGAGCTTTGGATCTTGTTGCTGCATTGTTTCTGTACCTACGTACGGCGCAGCATACGACGATTGTTCTTACGGAATACAAACGATTCCAAAAAATCGACAAGATATAGAAATATCACATGTAAAACTGCACGAAATGAGACAAACTCACGTAACTGGTTTTAGCGTAAAGGACAATTTAGGCCTCGAGTTGTTCTTCCCGAGAATTTTCTTTTGCTCCTCTTTCACGCGTTTTTCATGTTCTTTCCTCATTCTTTGCCTCTCTTCTTCCATCAAACGTTGTTGTTCGACCATGGCCAATCTTTCCTCAGCCTGTCGACAGAACAGATCGAATACATCGCCTTAAGTCACAGACACTGTCCGTCGAACATACTTCGTTTCGACGACGATGACCTACCAATTTCTTCTGGGCTTCTTCTATTTTTCTGTTGTTCTCCTCCACGATCCTCTCTAGTTCCTCGCGCTTCTTCCGCTCTTCCTCCTACAACGACAATGGGATCTATTTACATGAAGCAATGACGGTGTCGCTCACCAGCTGTTGTTACACCATTCATATCCAAAATCATAGTGCCGCTATGTCAACAGCCTAGTGTTATACATCCTAAGAACCTTTTCTTTTGTATTGGAAAAAAAATGTAGTCGGGATAACGTGTGAAAATTTTGAGTTTTCGGGTTTCAAAGAATAAGGATGGCTTGTCGAGTGAATGTAACAGAGGACGCATGTGAACCCAGCTCCTTCGTTTCGATCAAACGAGTTCCTCTTAGTTCCCAGCGAATGCTGTTTATAGTCAGATTCCCCCAGATGGAAATACGACGACTTAGGATGCCACTTGAAAGTGAAAAAACGTGAATTATGATTCTGAATCAATCCACTGTGCATGCAAACGGACGTACAGAATTAATTTACGATAATAAATTTTCCTTTCTTGTAACGCGACACGACAACTTTTATTTAAAGTGCAGGATGATGTTCTAAATTTTCAGGTGTGAATACTTTACGAAAAAAATTTAAAAAAAAAAAAAAAAAAAAAATAAGATATATATATATATATTTAAAAGAAAAAAGAAATCGTACTCCCTTCACGGAAAATTAACAATCGTTAGAGTATCTTCGACATAATGATTGTTGTGCATCTGAGACCAAAAGTCACAGGTTAAACGTATTTAAAAAAAAAAAAAGAATAAGAAAATATTTACGAACGAGTGTTGCCATCCGCCCCGACCTGTCGACGAAATGCGCTGTGTCCCAGGCACTAATATTTAGCAAATCTAAAATAATCCCTAGTATGGTCTTGCCGATACATAGCGTTTAAACAAAGAATGATAATAATAATATTGGTATAAAATGAATTATGAATATATAAATTGGATAATACCTGAATGAAGCTCACGCCAGCACGTAGGGGATGCCTTCTTCATCGACAATCACTCAGCAGTGAGTAAAAAACCGGCATCTTCTGTTGGTAGTCAGTAAGGAAGGTGACCTATATATTTGCTAGGTCGTGCTTTGTTGCTATGGGATTCTAATTCTGCCCTTTAAGGTCTACGTTCTCCCTTTTCTAATTAAATGTCTCTCCCAAACTTGTTCACATATTCAGTGCAAACTCAATGTGCAAAGCAATAAGGATAAAAGTATATATGGTAACTTGTAATCAGGGTCGCTGTCCATTTGACCGGAACGGAACGTGCTGATTTCCCGAGGGTGAGAATAAATAATTGTGCGCATACACAAAAGACATGGCAGAAGAAAACTCCTAGTCGTATTTGAAGGAAAACGAAATATGTATATATATAGATAGATAGATAGATAGATAGATAGATAGATAATTAAAAAAATAAAGAATACGGATATACATTGCTCGCTAAATACTGAATTCGAAACGATACCGATTTGATCAAATAACAGGACCCCTTCTCGTAATTCATGGAACATTATTGTACTAAATCAGTTAAAGTTGTTAAAGTTCGGAATTTCAAGTTTAAGAACAAACTAAATTCGTTTCAATCTACTGTTTACTTCCAGAATATTTTGCGTATCGTCAAAAACATAAAAAAACGAACGAAAAACAACAACAACAGACTAAGTACAGTATTCTTCAAATCTCGTGGCAAAAATTGATTAGGTATTACTTGCCTAATTATGTTCTCCCACAGTACTTTATTAAGTTGTTAAAAAGATAAATAGAAAAGTAAGAAAAACAGAATTTTCATGTATGTAAAAAATCGCAACTATTAAAAACGATGGAATCTGAATTATTTCTACGGGTAGCGGAATTTCGTTATTATTGTACGGCCTGAATAAAATTAAAAAGTGGACAAATTACGCAAATATCTCCTTAATAGGATAATTTTTTAAATCTACCTTGTTCGACTGACAGCAAAAGCTATTCAGGGAAAAATATCACTTTCCTATGGTTTCATAGAAAAAAGTAACTTTATTTCAAACTTACGATAGTGTTTTTTTTTTCTTCTTAGTAAGTTACAAAGTTTGGGATCGCTAACTTTAATTATTTAGATGCTTGCTTCTCTACTCCTTAAAGACTGTACGATGCGATTATGTGGACATTCACATACGCGGATATAAACTAGATTGATAAGTAATTAGGTCTGCTGAATTGACAGGTACAACGATTGCAAAAATTACGAGGAAAAACGTGAAGAACACGTTTAAACGCAATTTTTTCAATGTCGAGTACAACTGGCAATCAAGATATTGTGTGATGAAAGGTATTAATGTTGTACAAATATATAAATATATACATGGTACAAATACAATATTCTGTTCATAAATAACCGATACATGCGCCTATGATAGCAAAATTTTTTCCATAAGAGAAAGTATACCTTCCCAACAACGCGACCGCAGTGGATGCTGGGAAGTCGAAGCAGTGTGGCTTTTCGATAATATCTTTCTCATAGGTATCAACCACAATGCTTCAAGCCCAAACGCTGTGATCGCGAAATAGAGAATTAACATAACACTATGTTAACGCGTGTTAATTTGTATGTCCAACTAGTAACATTTATACAATCTTTTGCAATATCCAATATAAATTTCATTACCCTTTACGTTGGTACACACAAACATACAATATCCTACACATTATAGTTTTAAAAAAGATTTAATTTAATGTGCACCTTACCAGTTAGGCTACAAAATTTATTATAAAATTTCTTTTAGTTATACGTATGATTCATATTATAACTCTGTTTCTACCAAAATAGATTGCTCGATTAAGTATAAAAATAATGCGAGAATAGAGCACCAGACTTATTTCCTGTTGATCGTAACAGCGCTTGGGCTAACACTGGCCTATGTTTCTCTGGATTGGTCTTACCTCTCTTCGTTTTTCCTCCTCACGAAGTTTTGCTTGTCTCCATTCCATTTCCTCCATCATTTGACGCTCCATAGCCCTTTTCGCTTCTTCTACCCTCCTTTGTACTTCAGCTTCTATTTCCTCCTTACGCTTTTCTAGCTCTTCTTCCACCCTCTTCTGCACTAGCTCCTCAATACGCTTGGCAGCCTCCTCTTCGACCATCTTTTGCTCCACTTCACGTTGTCGTCTGCAAACACAGAAACATTTTTTCGTTCTAACGCTACAGTTGTAGCGAATAGTTTTCAAACAAGTTACATAGCATGCCTTTGTTGTAAAATTTATTACAATAATCTATATTACGTCGTTATGATGTATACTAATTCAATTTACTGGACTGTACTTTTCAATTCAGAACCAATGTTTCAACCAATGTTACACATGTTTCTTTTATAAAATTACAAAACGTTATTTATGCAAATCATGTGTGTTTACATATGCGCAAGTACAATACTATTAAACCACCACCATGAAATAGTTTTTCAATCTTACCCAACTGCGCTCGTGGTGAAGATTTTGTTCGATAATTCTTTCTTTTTCCTGACAACATAATTACAAATAAAAAAACGTATACCAATACAAATGAAGTACATAAAATAAATTTTATCGTATATTGTTTAAAAGAAATAAAATGTATGTAAAGATTTACAAATGTGATTTAGATTTTAATATGGAAAGTATGATATGTATCAAAGAATGTAATACAACACACACAATGCAGCTGCTAAATATACATGCCTTAAGCCTAGTAACAGGGTCAAAAAAAAAATAATCTAATGAATCATTCGCTTTAATTAAATTTTTCAATTAACTTACATAAAGTAGAATATAAAAAGCTTTACTCAAAACATAGCAAATTTGATAAAGTGATATATAAAGCATGGAAGAAGGAAATTAATTTGTATCAATTACCTTTGCCGTTCCATTTCAGCTAATCTTTCTACCTCATCCATTTTGCGATCCCTGTCTCTATACGAACGTTTCTTGTGACTGACAATGTGCACATCGTCTGAAACATCCGAGCCTGAACTAGAAGATGCAGAATGGGACCGTTTCCTGAACAAACAAACAAATATACTAAAACTGCATCTTGGAGCATAACATGGATGAAACAACTAACATGGTAAATTGCACAAACCTGGTAAAGCATATGCAACATTTAATAATAGAATACTATTCACTTACAACGCACTACAGTATATACAACGATTAAATACGTAGATTCTAATACATATATTAAAGCGCACGAAGCTCTCCCGCAGACTGTGTACAGCCAAAATGGCGGAGAACCGAATAAAGTCAAATAATTGCGACATGCACACAATCGATAGCAAAGTGAAATAAATTACCTTGACTTAGAACTGCGCTCTTTTGGCTTCTCGGAGTATTTATTGTTAGAATGCTTCTCTCGCGATTTGGAACGTTTTCTCGAGTGTTTGCTTTTGTGACGCCTCCTACTTGGAGATTTAGTCCTTGATCTGGAGCGGCCCATTTTAATCAGCTTTAAAGTTTTTTTAGAACACGCGAAACAATGATTATTATAAACGTGATAGGTAATTACACTTTAAAATAACCGAACACCACGGGAACACTGAGATACAACAAAACAGCCACTGTTAACGCGCACAATACACCACTGACTTATGCCTGCTTATGCCATAGCCACAGCGGCCATTTTTAAATTAGCGTTTAAGATGGCGCAACGGTTCGAAAAACTTCTATGCGTGACGAATCTTTTCTATCAAAATTTCTTCAGAAATATAGCTGCTTTTCATAAATAATAACACAGTACTCTTATGGAAAACTCGCTGTTACTTTTGTGAGTATTTATTTATAAATATTTTGGCTTGTCAAAGTGTTCTTCCGTGTTAAGTTTTCGCGTTTCAATTCTGCGGTAATGTTTCTATTCGTATACGGCAAATCATAATATCACCGCACAATCGTTTTTTGTTCAACAGATATACGATTATTATACTAATAACCCATAAAATTAAATTATATGATTGTATTTAGAAATCGACGTAATCGTGAATTTACGTGACATGTTATTTGAAATAAAATATCAAAGAATATTAAGTTTGATTATTGTTTACAATCATCGTTGTATATCCCAACAAACGGGAAGCATATAAATTTCTGTTTGTATAAATCGTAGGTTTAAATTCTTTTAAGACAGGGAAACATAGAAACATAATGTATCAAATCTGGTTCGCAAGATGTAAAGAAGAGATAGTATAATAATGTTCATGTTTGGATCTGCCGCCCTAACGATTATGTTTTCGCGGTTCACTAAGGCGCTTCAGACGTTTACAGGAACAGTTTTGACGTCACTGTGACGTCATACCTCGTGCTCGCAACGCTTATACAATATCAAGGTAGGACTGTAAGAGCGCGAACTCTACAACGTTTTCCCGCTTAAATTTAAATGTCCAATGAAGTGAGCAATGAAGTAAATATAACTTCAATACTTATATAAATGGAATAGAGTGAATAATTGTGACTTTAATATTAAAACATTGAAAATGTAAAGTTAGAAATGTAGCACGGAATAAGTATAACACTGTGACAGGTTTTTCAATTGTTTCTAACGGATGCTGCCGATTTTACAAGATAATTTATAGTTGGTAATTACATTACGAATTTCAGTTTTTATATTAAAAAAATTAAAGTTTACTAATGTAAAATGTTTATTATCATTTTTGTTTTCAAGATACGTCATAAATACTTTAGTTTTAGAATGAAATAAAATAAAACTATATGTAATTTAATCATCGAATAAAATAGAAGTAGTTTGGATAAAAGTGTGACATATTATACTATGTATGTTCATTTTGTTCGAAAGATTGTTCTATACAAATTCCGAACATGCTCATTTTCGTAAAAACAACAGTTCCAATCCTGTAAGAAAAACAGTAAAATATTATAATTAATTATACTGTAGAGTTTTTACAAATTTTATCGTGTTTTCATGGTTTGCATTATAACTTCTCGTTTATGCTCTATTTTGGCGCGCTTGCAGTACAAAATACATGTAGATTGAGAGAATATTAAAAACGAATTACAAAAAGACGTACAAAAGTCATAAAGCAGGAAGAGTATCCAATAAAATAGCAATGAACTTATTGTTTGTTATTAAGACCGGATAAAAAATGGTATCTGAATTACATGTTCGAAAGTGTTATAATACATCAGTGTTTGCGGCGCAGTAAAGACGTCTACGAAACGTATTATTATGATCGAATACGCCTCCAGACGTGTCGTATCAACTTGAAACATCATCATTTACATCGAGCATTTGATACAAATCAAGTACTCGGTAAGCATAAGCGTTTACAACTCGTGTAAACCCGTATCGAACGCAATCAAACAATGCCTCTATTATTGCATATGTCCTTGGTCATATGAGAAAACCCACGTGGATTTTCTGAGTGATATAAAAAAAATGTTAATTTTGAATAATTTGATGTAGATAAAAGTTAAATATCAAGTTTTAAGACATGAGAGATTATCTGAGAGATTATTTTATGATTGAGAAAAATGTATCATATTATTGTCTCAAAATAAATACAAATTGGAGTCAATCTTAAGAAGAAATTTCAACGATAAGCACAAGATTTATCAGTTGATATTTTTTTGAATATTAAAATAATATGCGACAGAAAGTATTCATTTTAAGAAATCTTTATAGTAATATGATAGCGAAACTCTCTCCATGAAATTCACCCGTAAGGGTTTTTGTTTGGGTGCATATAATATTTCTGCAAAATGTGTTATACTTTAGGAAAACGTCTCTTATAATTGAATAATCATTTATCACAGGTCAGTTATTTTATTTTATAAAAATTTAAGTGAATTAATTTCTTCTTGAGTTTGAATAACGAATATGAAATTGTATGTTATTTCATTGTGTACTTGTGATTTCACCTGAAAATATTTTTAAGAACAATTTCACAATTATTACAAACAATTATTTTAAACAAACATCACATAAAATAATATTTTATTTGCTATAACATTAATACGATGTTGTTTCGAATGTGATAGCAGGTATAAATATAATTATGTAATAAAATAACGATATTTTACATATTATTTCAAAAATAACGTTATTTTAAATATGATTGCAGATATGAAAATAATTATGTAATAAAATAATGTGTTATTTTACATAATGTTTCAAATAACGTTATCTCAAATATGATTACAGGTATGAATATAACTATGTAATAAACTAATGTGTTATTTTACATAATATTTCAAATAACGTTATCTCGAATGTGATCACGAAATGACATTTTAAATAATTTAATTACAAATGTAACCTTTGGGGTAAAGTACATCAGTGCGTCCGAAGAACGCGCCTGAAAATTGTCTGGCGTCGCGTGCGTTCCGAAAACCCGCTCGTTCTCCCGTTGGCCACCCGTTCACAGCTGTGTCGGCGTCGCGCGCATCTCATTCGACTCGTTCCGCGACAGCAGAAACCAAGATGGCGCTCCTCTGTTTGCGGATCGTTCTGCGGCGGATATAAATACGTGAGAAAAACAGTGCGAGAAACGGGTTACACGGTGATTCGATTAAGTCGCGGCGATCGATGTACGCGCGTCGCATAGTGACAGCCCGTTGGTAACGTGATCGCGATAATTTCGTGGCTCGACAGCGCCGGGTAAACGAAGCCGCCTTCGGTATTTCGAACGTCGGCGACGAAGGTGCTCTCGGTGCCCACCTGAGGAATGCCAGATTATCCACGGCACGGCGGTTCGTGCGACAGAGGGATACGGTAATCGTTCCAAGGCATCCCGTGGCGCACGGTCGATCGTAAAGGTGTTTCGTAAGGTGCTCCTCCGCGAAGGTGATCAGTCGTTTCTTCCGTGACGTATGTGTGTCGCGGAGGGCTGCGAGACAGGTCGCGAGCGAGTGTCGTCGTCGTCGTCGTCTGGGTGCTCGTGTTTGGTGTGCCGCGAGTGGCGTTTTTCGCGGCTTCGATGTGCTCTCGTCCTCCCCTGGATATCTGGACAGGCGAGATCAGCTGCTGCTGGAACAACTAGTCCAGCGGCTCCGGGAGACGATACTCTTCGACAGGAGCGGTGGGGCAAGGAGGCGCCGGAAGCAGCCGCGAGTCCGGAAGCATAACGAAGAAGATGGCCTTCAACGAGGTAACCTCTCCTTCCTGCAAATCTTTTTTTCTACGTTACCCTGTCCCGTTTCGTCGTTCGATCCCGTGGGTTGACCTCGCGACCCCCAAACGCCAATTCTAACCTAACCTCCGTTCCTGCGCACAGCTGGCATGTTATCAACTCCCCTCCCCCCCCTCTCCCCACGCTTCCCTTCCCTACTTTCAGCATCTCTTCATTCTCATCCTGTTCTTTCTCTGTCTCTGCGACCTACGTTTTGTCAGTCTCCTTCCCCCTTCGAACAGGGTTTTCATCCCTGGATCATGTGAAATGGAGTAAGCGAGACACTTTTTTAGAGTTCAGGGTTAGAGGGAACGAACGTAATTTATTTATGTATATGGAATGTAGCGAGTATTCAAGAAAGCGAACAAGAATAATTTTTGTGGATATTGATACGTAATTCTGATCGAATGACCATAACCTTCAATTGCTACTATCGCGGTATGCGAATAGTCAAGCGAAAGTTACAAATTATGATGGTAGATAACCTTGTGAATCACAAGTACTTTTGCGATAAACATACGCGAAAGAGATCGCTACTTTTAACTTCAACGAAACCTGTAAATAGAAAACGAAATAATAGATTAAGTTAGGGTAAATTATCTGATATTTCCTTATCTATGTACTTCCGAGAGTACCGTCGGTAACCTTAATAGTTCCTGTGAATCGTGTTACGTGAGAGATGCACCGAAAATCAGAACGAACACACGCGAGATAATATGTCACGCTGGCATCGAACGACCGTGCGCTTCGTTTTTTCCTTCCACGTGATAACCAGAATCCGCGTGAGTAAAGAACGCTGGTATGCGATAATTTCGTATCGCCTTTTGCGCGGGAACGTTTCCGCGATCAGTGGAAACATCGATCCGTCAACGATGTCGTTGCACGTCTCTAAGTAAGCGTAATCCGTAATCCGGTTTGTTTGCATTGATGTGCAACGATGTGGCACAGTTACGGGGTGTAGGAATTCATTTAATTCTTTTTTAATGCAGCTGAGGGGAGTATTAGTCGGGTTGGAAAGTAATGTCGTTTCTGCGAATCACAATACTTGTTTATTATTCATCAGTTCATTTACTTTGATCGATCTGAAAGTTGAAAGTTTGCAAAAGGCTATTGGTAACGAGGGTGATTACGAGGATAATTGATTAAAAATCGAAAGTAATTAAGAATGTATTTGTTTGAATTTAATGTACAAGAAATGATATTAATTTGCGGTCCGCCTAATACATATTTGTAACCGTTTCAATTTTAAGAGGGAAGCCTACATAGGTCGAAAAAGGTGCATATTTAAGAATAATTTTGGAACGAACGGTACATTTTCTGGTGATAAGTTTAAGGGTATTCGAAAGAACGTGTCTTAGCTCCTGTGACGCAATTTTTGTTTTTAAAACTATGGTCACTTTTTATAAATAGCACATACAAATAATCATGTATTCAATTATTTATATATCATACATTGTTTAAGTCATTCGTTACTCAATTTTACATTATCAGTCAATTGAACTAACGTACATCGACACTTTTTGCAAGTGTAATTAATGATGATACAGTGAAATGAGGTTACTTACTAGTAACTACACTAGTAATTCGAAGAAACGGAGTTTCAATCGGCCGCATTTTAAAGGCCATGGAAAAGTCGTGCTCGCGGTCATAACAGAACCGTTTCCTTGAGAAAAACCTTTATTAGAAGAATACTGAAAGACGGTTGCTTACGTCTCACAGCCTACGGTAACTGCGAGGTGTTTCTAGTCACCGATACTCGCGTTCGCGAAGGCTTGTTCGCGGGTTACGTGCGAGAAAGAAAGAACGACACGTGCCCCTGGCGCGTTTGAACACAGAGTTTGCAGCGCGATATTATAAACAATTGCATCATAATCGAGCGATGCGAGCAGAAAGATTCGTGGCTACGTGTGCATCGTCACTGTCGTTGATTACCCGTTGCTTCTGTAACGTTTCTCCGTGACATTGCGTAACCATATCCTATAATGAGAGACGAGGTATCGTGTTTCCACGATGCAAATGAAAGAAAAAAAGAGCATTTCAGTGTATCCGATTCAAGTGTGAGATTACATCGGCGTTGGACAAACTGGATTATCAGTTTAATGTTTATCGATTATGGTTACTATGTAAGTCGGCGATTACTCGGTTATCGTGATTACAAAATAGCAATTAAGTGGTATAGTGGAATGTTGATACCGATACTCGATAATTTTGTTAGACTATTTGTTAGGTAACTGAAATGATAGTGTAATTTTAGTAAAACTTTGATTTAGAATTTGTCACTTGACATTAACAAATTCGATATAATTATATCAGTAATTAATTAATTATATGCAATACGGGTATATTTTATATACTTTTATAAGTATTGTATATTATTTATATTGATCTAATTACTTTGTGCTCTCATTGAGTTTATTTACATAAATTCTTATTCGAATAAACTGTTAGTCGAATACAAATTTATTTCACATTAACAAATAAAATAAGTTTTGATCGAAGACCGTACCATTTTCGTCTTATTTTTAGCATTTTTTGGATACCCTGTCTATTTGTAATGTATGTAAATTGTGTATTCGAAGTTTGCAACTACCTATCATGCATATGTAAATTACCAATGAAATTCTGTTATACGAACTTCTCGTTTTCTTCGAATACGTATATTCCGTCGTTTCAGTGATTCGTAATTTCATCTCTTGATAAAGTTTGAGATATTACGTTTTTGAAAACTTCTGTAATTATGATCAACAATGAAACAACTGTAGCATTTCAAATCTTCACTCGTTATAATAGAGGTTAAAGTAATTATTCACTGATTGATTACAAAATTAACAATTTATGATTCCAATCTGCAAATGCAATTTACGATTATTAGATTGCGTATATATATGCAAATTCATATCTTCATGGATGCAGAAAATAAATTTAAACTTAAATAAAAGCATATTTTATCTTCTAAACGGTGCAACATGTATATTATTTTTCAAAATTTTGAGTATGGTACGACGTAATTGGAAGAATCAAAAACCAATTTTTTTTAACCCTTTCGACGACTTAAAATAAATTAGATATGGAAACTTTATATAATTTTTACAAAATATATAATTCTCAACGTTTTGACAATTACCAAATTATACAATTATGCAAATGCATAAATATATGAAGTATAACAAACAAAATAGATGTTACAAATTTCAGAAGATAAAACATACCTTTATTTACGTTTTTATTCTTCATCTTTGGCTACAAAAACATGAATTTGCATAAACATTCGCAGTCTACTCATCAGCAATATATCCACATATATATGTATCCAAATAATTGCATTCTTAAAGATTTATGTAACTTCGAAAGCAAGGTAATTACTCAAGTAATAGTTACCATCGTCATGATTAATATTTTTAATCAATGACAAGAAGAATCTCAAAAGTAATTAATTATTGTCCACAAGAGGTGGATTACAATTCTTATCTGCAGTATGTTGCAGCTTAAAATTGCAATTCCTGCATTTTTCATAAATGAAGTGCAGGCTTTAATTGGAAATACAAACAATGTTCAAAGCAAAAGGAGAACGTGTTTCGATCGTGTTATCAGTTCGATTGAAGTTTTTTCCAAACTCTGGGCGATAGATCAGAATTTTCGGAAAGAAACAATGCTGTACGGAGCACATTTGAAAAACGTTCGATGGTAATTACTTGATGGTTATCTGTCGACTACTTTGTCCCACAGTTAAAGGCTTAAGATTATCTCCCGGTCGGTTATCAGCGTCGATGACGCATATCGCGCGCATCGCAATCATGCACGGTAGGCTACCTTTTATCGTGGCCGTCTATTTATTACCACTGGCTCCTCCGTGGAACAAAAAGAGCACTGGCCGGTAATTAATACGTCGCGATCAGATTTCGTTCGATACGATGTCGGCGCAATGCGAAACGAGAAAATGTTACTCGTAATCGTACGCGTTGTGTGCGATTTCTTCGTTTGCTCGCGTTTTCCCATTGTTATACTTCGATAGAAGATACCGATACCCTTCGGTAGAATTCCATTATATTACTCGATCGAAGGTGGGTCGATTGGAAGCATTTGATGAAAATTGAATGGGAACGAACAATGGATTGTATCGTAATTAGTAGACTGCGAATCATTATGCAAAATAAAATCTTCGCGAACGTATCTACAACAGTTGAACCTAAATAAGAATTGTTATATTATTTTGCAAATATTATAACATGAACTCTACTTTCAATTTTTTTTATATTCTTACATATTGTGTGCATTTTGTAGGTTCTTGCACATTCAAATTTTATATAAATGCATAAAGATCCGCAGTCTAGTAATTAATAATGGGCAAAATGCTTATCTAGATGAAAGCTTAGAATAAAAGATAAATGATACGCGGACTTTTATTTTTAGATAATTATAATAAAATATCGAAGTTTCGTTGTTTTGTTTTGAATTTGTCTGCTTTTTAGAGCAACCAAAACTTATATTTGTCATATTTGGTCAAGTACAGTGTTGTCCATGTAACTTGCTCATTAAGCAAGTACACTTTTATATTTGTCATAAATTATATACCTTAGAAGTTAACTGGAGCGAGCAAGTTACGTGGTACCAAATATAAGAAACTCTTCTTTGGGACCTGACCAGATACAATCTTAAAATAATTTATCATTTGCATTATTCGTACATATTTGAGATAAAGTATATCAGAGAAAACTCAAAATCACATATTTTCTTATATTAGGAATGGTTAAATATCTCATGAAAGGATGAAGCTATCAAAAAGATATTTTGACAAAAGTTATTTGGTTCAAAAGTAACTGCTATTATATTAAGGACAAAAATAAATAAAGTTCCATTTAAAAAATGCATTTAAAAAATGCATTTAATGGAGCCAGTGGTAAATGCATTTTTTAAATGGAACTTTATTTTTTTTTGTCCTTAATATAATAGCAGTTGTTTAGACTGCGTTAAATCTACCG